AGATTATATTTTTAGAATATTGTTTTATTGAATATCATAACACAAATTATTTTCACTGAAAACAAGAATGCTTGCTGGTGCATCTATATTTTTGTAATTCAATTGTTTAGGATTTAAAAAGAGTTGAAAGCTTCTTTTTATAAATGTAATGAATCGTCATAGCTTTGTAAACATTATGTGTTGAAGTTGACAAAACCCGGTCCATCATTCTTTTACTGCCTCTAGGGTTGATACAATGCAATGACTAAAACAATAGGCTACTTGGTTTGCCCTGTCAATCCATTAGTCCAAATGACAAGTTTGATTGACAAATCTGAATGTCTAAAATAGGTCTTCTCAGAATAAAAACAAGGAATGTGTTCTAATCAGTGATTAATTTTGGTCTTGGCCAAAACAATACAAGTCCAGACATGCAAAAGATTGTGGCCTGGCTGTGTAGCATATACTTGCCTGATGTTGCACCAGGAAAAGAATAATCAGCTGATTGCTGTTATCTATGATTACTCAAAGATTTTACTTATCAAAATATGTTAGCCAAAGTCCTTGCATGATAAGTCCTCTGTCTACAAGATCTCTAGTTTAATCATTTTACGTGACCACTTGTTTCCGTTAAAAATATATTCTTTTTTGCTTGGCCTATTTTTAAACAATGTATAGCGTATAATTTATAAAGTACCACTAGGTATTTCTTTCTTACCATGTTGATCATTTAATTGAAAACTTGTTTAATTCATAATTAGTTTTTCTCACTTTGTGTTATTTTTGCAAATTTCCCTATTGGAAAGTAGCTATTGCCATATGTAGCACGGTAAGACTTAGAGGCAGGATCAATGTACTTTTTCATTTTGATGTCCCTAGAGGCCAAAACACTATTTGTTTTAAATTTGTATAAATAGGTATAGAAAATGTAGGGCGGGATAAACTTGAATTAGTTTACGAACCATTATGAACGGGGTTTTATGTAGTAAAAATTGGGTTTTCTCATTTTGACTCCCAAAACATAAAATTTCCTTATTTCTCTCTAACCATTCTAAAGAATTAAAAAAACCAAATGATTTAGTATATTGAAGTGTTTTTGCGGTTATTTATTACGGAGAAAATACCAAAAATTTTAAATTTCAAATTCCCATGTTATTCTTATGGAGGATAAGTAAACTGTTATAGTTTGCTTGTTTATGGATGTATTTTGATCAAAATTGGCAAATTTATTTATTTTATACTAAGCTATTAATATTTTACTAAAAACACACACTTAATTACCCTCCCTGTAGCAGCAAACCTAGGTACTTGTTAAACCTAATGTTAATTAAATAGATTTAATTAAAAATCCAATCAGTCAAATGGGGATTTGCTTAGTCTGCAGGTTTGTTGCAGCGGAGGGTATTATTAAAGAAGTGTTTGTATTTTTTTAAACATATTTAATGGGCTGACATCATCAAATTATGTATCCTATTGTTTTTGGTGACAAATCTAATTTCTATAACCCAACATAAACATTATTTTTGCCTTGCAATAAATTATCCGTAGGCCTATATATACTAGACTAAGGTTTGCTTATTGTAATAGTAAGCATAACCAGTATTAACTTGACTATGATTTTTGTAGTGACTTTTCCGTTATAGTCCGTTTACAAAATTAAGGCGGTTTGAGGGGAAGTTCCCCCACCACTTTCTTCTGCTCAATACATGTTGCAGCTGATTCACGTTTTAAGGATTTTTTTTAGCTATAAAAGACGTGGAGGTGATAGATTTATTTTAAAACCGCCTAAATTTTGCAGAGTATAGTTTAATTTTTTAGTAAACTCGATTGAAACTGACAATCTAACTAGTATTATTAAAAACACCACCCTGGTAATCTATTTTTGAATGATTTCTTTTTGTGGTATAATTTGGTCTAGTAAGATGGAAAAAATTATGTTAATTAACTTAAAAATTATAAATTGACAATTGCTATTCAATTCTGAGGTAAAACCTGGAAGATTTTACTCCAAAGCTGCCTTTGTTGGTTAAAGATTTTAAATAAAAATTTCCTTTACCTTAGTAAATTAAAAATTCTTTTCTTGAATCAAAATTAAAAATACTTCTATTACTTGCTAAGGAATTCCATCATTCTTCATTTTACTGCCGGCTTGGAACACATTAAAGCCTCCAGGTCTTAAACGTTAATGGTTCATTGTCAACACATTCTTGAACTTCTGACTTGAAGGTTGACTATGGAGACAAGAAACAAATTTATGATCCTTCTGATTCTGTTATATTATTTTCTGAATAAGAAACACTAAAGAAAGTTCGAAAGTTGTAAGAATTACTTTTCCTAATTATTCCTCATACTTTTTAAAATGTATGTTCATCATGGAAAAATAACTTGATGCCATGTTGCAGGGTACAATTTCATCATAAGATGTTTTACATGAACAATTTATAGAGGAAGAGGAGAATATTCCTCTGTTACATTGTGGAAAATGTTTTATACTGCACCCTCACTAGTAGTTTATCTTACAATTCAAGTAACAATGTACTGTAACTGTAAACAAACTCAAATAAACACACTTTTATCTGTTGTTTGGCAAGTTCCTAACCATCAATAGTAATTAATTTTCCTACTAAAACTACCAAAATTGTACAACCTCTTCTGTGTATTTAATAATTTCTCAAAGGAGTCATACCATACAACACAGAAACAGTATTATAAGCCTACTCTTAAAACACCTACTTGATATGCCAAAAGTAGAAAAGTAGGTACTGAACAGAAAACTTGAAAACATTTTGTGTGAGGATAATAAATATTGATTTATTTATCAAATTAATTTATACTGAGTGTCCCGTAAGTATGTAGAATATATGTAGTGAATAGGTTTCATGTTTCTTGGAATTTTTTCATAAGCTAGGCAATTTTTTAGTAATTGAAAAAAATAAATAAAAAATAAAAGAGTTAAAAATTATTATTAATCATTAACAAAAATTAAAATGGTCACAATTTTAAAACCGAAAGATTTTTTATTATTATATTTTCTAAAATAGATTATGACTAGATAAAATTGTATACAAAATTTCATAAAGATATCTTCGATAGTTTCCAAGATATAAATTTGAAACAAAAACAAAACAAAGTGGTAGATATCTTGCTAATGTGGCATTTTTAGAAAAATATGTTGTTGTTGTTTTTCCGTTTTACTTTGAGCCACTAAATATATTCCTAAACTTTTTGTTTTTGTACTTACGAAAGTCCTTTATATTTACGCAGGATTTTAAAGCTTGATAAAGGTTTGTTAGCCTTTTACCCTTACGCTGAATAATAGGAAATATTTATGTTTTTTTCATAGGTTCATAACAAATTTATTACATTGGTTTCCATTAATTAAACACTACTAGTATTTGGATTTCCGTTTATTCGCAACCATTTTAAATGCTAGCTACTAGTAAAACCACATATTCTGTATACCTTATGTTTGGTAATACCTCTAGAATTCTCCGAACCATTCTTATGGCTTGATATGCGATAAACTGAATGGCATGATAAGCCAACAGTCAGTTTAAATGAATGCAGATCATAAAATCGTAGCATAAGTTTTTTAGAATCAAGGTATTGTGTCCAAACCAAGATTACATAACGACCACAATGAAAATATTTATGGCTAAGTGACTCAAGATTGTAACCTAACCTGAATTAAAGAAACAATTCTTGAAAATTAATGAAAATGGTGTTAAAAGAGTATTGCAATATTTAAAAAATATGTTAAGCAAAATATACAAATTGGAAAAGAACTTAACAAGGTTACAAACAAAGAATAAATAAAAGATCAAACATTCTTTAATTGCACAAAATCACAAATACTAATACTTATAAGCATGAGGAACTAATAAAATAAAACTACAAAATTTTTTATTTAAAATGGGCGCACAAAATATGAATGCAACAAGACAAACAAAATAGTGGTTTTTTCAGTCCTTCAAAGCTAGAATAGAAAACCTTATTTTACATCAGATAGTTTATAATTAATACTTCTTAAAGTTCACTGTACAGGGTAATAATATTTTAATAATTAATACATGGTAATAAATATTTTTGGGTATGTCGATCTGAATAAGTAAAAAATCAAAATAATAATCCTAAACCAACAATTAAATTGTTTAAAACTGTACACAACTCTTTAACAATCAATATTTTCTGAACATCACAACTTAAACTTTCTGTGATCTATTTATAAAACTAACTCTATGAAATGTGATTAAGTACAATAAATATTAAATTAAAAATATTTTACAATAAAAATATATAGCCTGATAATTATTAATATGACTAAGGAACATTTAAAATAAGTTAGTAGTTCAAATTCACAGTAATTTATTCTTTGGTAAAGAACGTCAAGTGAAATATATTTTTTGCGTTGGACTAAATTGATGAAGTATCTATGTTTTGGTTTTTACCATTGTGTGATCTCTGATTATTTGGTTGAACTGGAGGATTACTCGAAAAAACACACAAACACAAACCAATGGTTAGAAACACAAATAAATTAAAATGTCCAAATACAAGTAAAATTGAAAAGACTAACACAAATAAATGTATAAAGGCAAAGATATACATTTTTGTGTACGGTACAAAAAAGTACAAATGTGTAACAATAAACAAAATAATTCAACATTAAAATGTAGAGTTTCTTTATAAAGTAAGAGCAAATTAAAAAATAGGCCTAATTAATTTGATGTATTATGAAAATAATGCTTTGATATTACACTGTTTTAGTGATCTAATGAAACCAACTTTAATTCAAAGAATTCTATAAAAACTTGTATCATGTCACAGAAAACATACTACTATAACCCAGAATGCCAACCGCATGGTAAAAAGCATTAAGTGTTTTGAGAGAGCTTTGCCTGTCAATCGTAGGCAGCGCCACCAGCGTTGCTATGCTGAGTGCATGGCAACGCTGGTGGCGCTGCCTACGATTGACAGGCAAAGCTCTCTCAAAACACTTAATGCTTTTCACCATGCGGTTGGCATTCTGGGTTATAGTAATATGTTTTCTGTGATCATGTATAGATGAAGTATTTTTTATAATACCATGTCCATAACTATTTTAATTTTTGCACATCCAAGTGATTTAACAATCACAACAACGTGAACATTTTAACAATACGGACAACACTTTCAAAATGACTCAACCTCATTATAAAAGTACAAAAAGCTCTGTTAAGATATGAAAATATTTTCTATACATTATCTTTTTAACAAACATAATATGGCAAAAATACAACCTTTTCAAACATCATACTCACTACCTTCGATTCTTTCGTCAGAAATAAAGGAAACAATATAAACAGCAGTGTTTTCACTGAGCCAGATCAGCGAAATCAGCAAAGCGTTGACAATACCGAGGAGAACGCCAGCAAAAACATCAAGCAAGTGGTGACGCCGCAACAAAATCCTACTGGCGCTTACGGAGAACACCCAAGCGAGCAGAGGCAATCGGAAAATGAAATGAATGGGATACAGAATCAAGAAGAAGTAGGCAATGAAGCACGCGCGGGAAACGTGTCCGGATGGGAATGAATAAACATCCGGGCCGATTGAGCCCAACATGTCAGGTTGGTTACCGGCGGGTCTTCGTCTTCTGAAAACCGCCTTCAACACTCCCACTAAGATGATGTCTGTGATAAGACCTGAAAAGTGAATTAAACTCAGATATCTATTAGGCCCTAATATAAACGAGTATGGTACGAGTAAACAATCACATCAGATGTAAGAATCCTATATGATAATATTTTCACAACAGGTTCTTTAAATGCTAAATGTTTCTTGTATTGATTTGAATACGTTAATTGAAGACTCTCTTTTGGGGTCCAAATACTTTAATAAGACCTAAACAAGGATTAGAGTTTTCCAATTTTATTCTACAATCGTTTTAAAGATATTTCAGGAAGTAAAGTCATAACCAAATTTGAAGTAAATTGGAAGAAAATTTACGACTTCTATAATTTAAAAACACAAAAGTAAATGTGTGAAATCCAATTTTAAAGAAAAACTCTATGACGTAGAGGCTTAAGTTTCACAGATGAAGGTTGGAAACGTAAACTTTTACTTACTTAAAAAAAAATTCTATATGAGGTACCTACAAACTCACCAATGAAAAAGTTGACTTGCATTTCCATGAGTTCTTTTTTCCATACGATCCACAATAGCATGATCCATACAGGCAACCAAACGTATCCGGCACATGATACCTGTAAAAATCATCTTCGTTATAATATTTTAAAACCTATAAAACCTTATTTATTGCACTGATACACTATTGCAGTTGGAAATAAGCAATCACTTCAAATAAAGAACCATTTTGACAATGGAGACATCCTATTCTCAAGTCGATGTTGGAGTTTTACAATGAAAAAGCACGTTGTTGAATTGAGCCAATCAATTATCAATCATGAGATGGGAACGCTACCTAGGTGCGTATTTTACCCCAAATATAAGTGAAGGATGAGTGTTGGATCTCCCAATAAAATATTTTTAACAGTATCTTTGAAGTCCAACAAAGTGGTACAAATGAACAAAAAACAAGTACCGTAGTTATTCTTTACCCAAGTTTACTTATTAAGTAGCAGGGTTTTACTGTGTAATTAAATGACCATAGAACAGATTCTCTTTATTATACAATATGCTGATAACCAACAGTCAACTGTGCAGTATCCACAGTATTAAAAAAAATCATATTTGATTGAAATATGCCTAACACTTATTTTAGGTTCACTATATAACCATACTCGGTTATTGTGTAAAGTTACAAATCTGACAAAGCAAGACTACCTATATGCTAAAAATAGTTGGTATTTTGTATTTTATACTGTTAGGCCTACTTGCAACATAAAATATCCCCTGACAACTTACCTCTAACAACTTGTAATGGATCTTGAGGGATCGAAATGGTAAAAATTTGTTCATTAAATTACACAGAGAGTTAGTGAGGTAGACATCGGTTTTTAGAATCTTTTCTAGAGCAGGAGGCACTTTGCGCTTTTCGTGATGTCCAGTCATTGTTGTTTAGGTACCGTAGTTCTGAAAAGAATAAACATGTTAGGTAACTTAGGGTTCAATTACACCGTTGATTGTGAATACCAAAGTAGATGAGCTGAAGCTACTTGTTTGTGTAAGAGGTCGCAGAAGGGGTGTCTTTTAGGGAGGGAGGAAATTGCATTTACGCATTTTCAGACACTTTTATTTTTATGTTTGCATGTTTGTTGGCACAGGGGGCTGCCAGCCTGTAAAGTGTAAGACTCCAACATGTTTAAGACCCAAAGACTGCCCACCAAATACCTCCTCTAAGTTACTCTTTGGACACTAGCCTGGAAACACTTGTCGTACTTCATCAGAACTTAGCAACTATCTCCAGAGGGCACACTTTGTTGGTCCACAGTGGAATGAGTACTGTATGCCTCTCGTTTAATCTCTATTCTTGCAGTTTTAATTTCTCTCTTTGGAATTTCATACCATAAAGACGCTAGAATTTACAATTTGCCCCTCCAGCTTCGTTACGAACAAAAATCTGTTATAAGAGATAAACGTTAAGTACAAAAGCTAAGAGTTGGTGATGGTGACATAATTGAACATAGTTATTTTTATTTGAATAACTGGCTATAACTTTAAAACCGTAATGGAAAATGTCTACATCACCGTATTATGTTTACTGTATGGTAAAAAATTACAAATTTTTTTTTTTGGTACCGGTAGTAACTTATATGTCTACATCTCCCTGACCTAGAATGTGTTAAGGTTTGGTGGAGGAAATATTGTACTTTCACCCCAAATGTACCTACATACCTTTCTCTCCAAATTCAAAACAGATGTCCGATAATATGAGTGGTAGCATTTCTGTTTATAGAGAAAGTAAAGTGGAAGTGGTACATACACCTCATATTTGTGTGGATAAGTTGGGGATCGAAACAGTCCCTCTCGCGTGAGTTTGATAAATGACAATCCTATAGTAATAAGCTACCAAACTACTTACCAACCAAAATATACTATGAAATAAAGAGATAACAATTAAAAGTTGGCACAGTGTAGGCTAGGTTATCTTTGCAACATAGCTTGATTTATAAATTAAACAGGGTAAGTTACTAAATTGTCTTGATCTTATGTATCACTTGCCTTGTATCACTTGATGTGTGAATTTTATCCTTCTTAATGCCAATAAGTTTAATGGTGTTATCACTCTACACTGTGTAAGTTTACAGTTTTAGAAGTAGCCTAAACTAAGTGACACAGCAATCAATATAAGTTAAAGTATACAACTTTATCACAACAAACAGTTTGAGATGTTTATTTATCTCAGCCACTGCAGATATGAGTCACCTCTTTATGTTTTAAGACTGAGTAAGTTAGTAGCCAAAGGCTATCAGCGTGTTTTTAGTCTGCTACTAACTATTTAGGTAGATAGGCTACAATGAAAATCAATAAGTCTAATTTTCACAAACCGGGAAATGTATAAATTCATGAAGTAAGTTATTTACTGCTTCCATGATTTTTTTGGAGTACCTATTATACTTTTGTAAAATTCAAAATAGCCTAATAGGCCTATTTGTTTGTAATAAAAACTGGTTTGGTACGATTTTCCCCTCTTCATCACTATTAATTAGGCTATTACTTTTCATCATGAAAAAATTAAGGGTCCAAACAATTTTCAAAATAGTTAAAGGATATGGTAGGATCATAAAATGTACGTAACAATATGAGAAAATCAATAGAAGTTAGATAAGTTTTAAGTTATGTCTAAAGTTTAAAGAGCTTTAAGTTAAATACCAACAATTTTTGTATACACCCATTTTTATTTGGCGCGCTCCATCATAAAAAAGCGAGCATGCGCACTTAAGGGTTAACAGCCATGAGCTAATAACTCAGGAGTTAACTTAGCCTTAAGTTTAATATTTCTTTCCCATGTGGAGTTTAAGTTTTCATTAAGTAGGCCTATTTTGAAATAAAAACATATTGAATAAATTTAAGTTTTAATTAAAAAGTCTATGAACGAACAGTAGGTAAGCAGTTGACTTTTGTGAGTATTTATTCAGCAGGGTTTAGGTAGTTTTTTTTAAGGCTGATATTTTTAGGTTTTACACATCCAGACAGAAGTAAGATCAACTTTCCAAAAATCATAAATGTAGCCCACTGTTTACAATATACATACCAAGGTAATTTGAGTACAAAGAATGTAAAGAGAAAGATGACTAATGCTATGAAGGTTTTGCATACATTACATAGATTGTTTATCAAGATTTTAGTTGACAAGGCTATACAGAAAATAATATAGCCTAGGCTATTACAGCTAGGCTGTAAATTTATTTTCAATTCGGCGTAGTCTTGCTTATAAATGTTTTACAGGCCATAATTTTTGCTAGGATTAAACGCAATTAGCCTAACATAACATTGCAAATAAAACGTCAAAGTACACAAAACAAAATTTAACCTTACCTCAAACACAAAGTATAACTAAGTTAACACTGCAGCATTCAGCAAGAAGAGATGGCGAAACACACCAGGCGCAGGCGGCATAAAAAACTAAAAACAACAAACATCTCACAGCCACCACAACAGCCGAATAGTCAGCTGATTTATCTCTTATCACAAACAAAGCATATGTTTTGATTAGACATAGCATAAGCAAAAGCAAGTTTAGTTTGGCTTAGCCGTTGAATATGGAACCATATTGAGTTATTTCAATCACTGATTTAGCAAATACTAACAATATTAACTAGAAAATATAATGAGATGCTATCAAGTCAACTGAAATGATTGGGCATATGATCATAATATGACTGTTTTTATTTAAACGTAAATTCATTTAGCATATCGAACTGAGCCTGAAACCGAGTTGATGGTTATTGTAGTACGTTTTCTGTAACACAACGGACAACCTGAACCTGCCAACAGATTAGTGAGCAGCAGCTTAAATGCAACTGCCAAAACATATGTTCAATGCTATTAGTATAGGATTCGGGCCAACAACGTCATTTGTTTATGTTTATGATCCATGGGTATTTTTCTAGTAATCGTGGCAGCAGCAGAGGATAAGAAGAATCTAAACAAAAAATAATATTTTTATTTACACAACACAGTGTTGTTAACCAAACCTCAAACCAATACGCCTAATTTTCATTTGTGAACTCTAGGTTGGTTCTATTTAATAACTAGTCAAATTTAATAGTCTTGTACTTGTTTGTATATAAAATGATGGCATATAAGCTGAAGTAGCGCGTTTGCGGTAAATATTTATTTACTAAATATCAAACGACGACCATTGATTTTCTAGGTTAGGCCGTCCTTTATCTCACAGAAAATTGATGTATGTGGGCAGTTTTGCATCCATACAAAATTGTGGTCCCAATTTTAAGGGTTTACTAATTCTATAATTTGTTTACGGATTTCGTTTTTTATCTTTAACCTACTTATACCTAGAAATTCTAGGTTTATAATATAGATTTTTTCAAGACTTGGTAGGCCTAGGCCTAGCTGTGTCATTAAAATACTTAGGTCCTCCCAGTTTACTGCTTTATTTCTCTAATGATTGTTTTATGTAATAAAGGAGCCAAATAGTAATATGGTTTAAGCTGTCTTGCTGTTTGTTAATCGCAATTAATTTTAAGTTCCAAAACTGTATGATGAATAGGTTTACATACCTTATAAATCCGAGAAACAGCTCAATTTTATAGAAGGTCACTTACATGTTTCGGCTTGTATACGCCAGTGTCAAAACATCGCAGTTGGATGGTGAAATCCTTGTCATTGTTTGTTACTAAAAGTACATACACATACACAGATGGGACAAAGACATTACAAAAACGATTAAAAAGTTTTAATAGGCCTATTACAATGTCTATTAGGCGAACGTGAGTTTGCATCCTGACCATTACCACGGTGTGCGTCCTGCCCATGTATTTATTGTAATAAGCAGGCCTATTACAACTTATTATTCATTTTCGTAATGTCTTTGTCCCGCTCGTGTATGTGCATATGTGAATGTATCGGGTACACTTCCATATCTGTTGGCACAAACAACCGAGTGAGTAATAATGATTATTCGATTGTTTAATTCGATATATCATTTGGTTAGTTAGGTTAGGTTAATCTTACCTAACTAACCAAACGATATATTGAATAATCGATATATTGATCGATATTTTCATTAGGTTGTTTGTGCCAACAGATGGAAGTGTACCCTATGTAACTTTTAGTAACAAATGATGACAATGATTACAACGTCCAACTGTGATGTTTTTACAATGGTGGGTACAAGCTGATACATGTAAATGACATTCTATAACATTGAGCTGTTTGTCGGATTTATAAGGTATGTAGGCCTAAACCTCATATTGAAAAAGTATAACTTAACAGCTCAGGAGCTAGAATGGAAATAAATTTTAATTCCAAAACTGTACTGAAATTAAGCTATTTCAACCTAACATGGCTATGTAGAATGCAAGTTATTTTTGTGATAGGCTATCCCAGTTTCATGAATTACAGTAGTGTACTCAGGCTACCTAAATTTACCTCAACTTACATTTAACACAGGTATTTTTTCATCAATTAAGTTAAACTTGCTGTTGATTAAGTTACTGTTTGTTGCAGATACAGTAGATTTAAAATTAAATGTATTTGAAGCCCTACCACCGCTTCAACACAAAACCTACAATGCCACAAGGAAGCTCTAACTAGCTAATGATGGACAAGATCACCAGTTCGTCAGAGTTACCAATCACGACTGATGCATTCATAAATGTATCTCACAGTACTTGTACCAAGTTTGAAGGAAATTTAAGTCCACCAAGTACCCAAGGAAAAGTTCTGGTATGTCGCCTTTGCAAACACCTGTAAGAATTCTTGTTATCATTCATCAACAAAATAAAATATTCTAAGTTATTAAATATAATTTTTGAAAATATTTATATAATTTTATTAATAATGGTTTACCAACATTCAGCCGTCCAGTTTTAATAAGGTATTTTTTTTGCAATCTAGGTTTTAGCACGTTGTTGTACTATCATCAGGCTCCAAGGTGAAATTTGTTCAGTCCATTGGACTTCGTTGGGTTATAAGTTACGTATATAGTTCACATGACACAAACAGGGAAACATAAATAAACACAAAGGCCTACCCATCGGTATTTACAAGACAAAGACGCACACGTTTGAGTTCACTGGTCGCAGAAAAACAACTGGTTATTATTTTATTACTTTATTTGAACTAGACGGCTGAAGGTATTTAACAAACGACATGATTAGCTCCTAACCAGTTCAGGGTAATTTCCACATCTCGATGTCAAAAATAATATATCATTATTGTTACTTTAACTGCAGCATCTCTAAGCCTTAATGATAGAAAATACATATTTTATTTCAGCGTAAAATGTTCATTAACTTAACTTATATGGTATAGGCCTATTAGAATATTAAAATCAGCAAAGTCGTCATACAAGTTTTGTGGAGACCACTACAGCTTCACAGTTGGGTCTGACTTAGGGGAGGTACGATTGAGGCATTAGTTCAAAATTCCTCCGTGAACAGCGCTGTAGTAGAGAGCATTTTGGCAATGAAGGTTTACTAATCACAAAAAGAGTTCTGTTCATAAAATAAAATTATAAATGCCTCAAATTCAATTTTATAAATTTTTTATTATAAAATTACTATCATAACCTAACCGAACTAACCAAACTTGCTGATAATGAAATACTTAATGTACAAAAGTTTATTAATAGAAAAATAATTCTGTTCATTAAATAAAACTAAAAATTGCTCAATTAAAATTTTATAATGACTTAATAATAAAATTAAACTGTCATAACTGAACCAAACCAGCCAAACTTGCTGATAATGAAAAAATCTTAGTCAAAAAGTTTATGCCACCAGCGGGATTCGAACCCGGGACTCTCAGCATATCAATCCGGCACGCTAACCACTAGACCACCGAGGCCGATGGTTGAAAGCCGTGTTGTTAAGGTAATGATGTTCCCTCTGCTAATAAGAAGCCCACAGCTGTCATCGTAACCTCTTCTATACCTCCCCTAAGTAAATACCTTCACAGTTCAAGTTGCATATTTTTTTATGACTGACTAGCTGTAACCCGCGGGCTTATCTCGTTCGCATCGCTCAATCACGTCCTGGTTGAAGTTTGTTCGCTACGCTCACTCACCTTTAGGTTGGAGCTCGTTCGCTGCGCTCACTTGCCTTCAGGTTAGCTCGTTCAACCTGAAGGCAAGGTTATTTTCAGTTGTAAGCAAAGTTTTTCCGTCTGCTACCTTACAAGTGCTATGACTGTGTTATAAAGTTTCATAGAGATTTATTTATTAAAAGTTGGTTTATTGAAAGCATAAGATCAACCAGTAACAATATAGTGTAACAGTGAGTGTTTCGGAACATATTGAAGCAAGTAAAACAATTTATTATTCATTTTCCATTGATATAAAACGATAAATACTTGCTACTTACCATAGTGAGGTTATGCATGCTTGATTTTTAATTTGAACAAACATCATGATTTATCACTTTTTCAGCACTATTGAACGATTGCTAACTACACTTTGATATAAATCTTACTTAAATATTGCACTTAAAAGTCTTAATTATTGATATTAAACGTAAATTAAACTAAATCTGGGTTTGAGACTAGCTCTTGCTTATTCCTGTTTGTTTATGTTTTTGAGTTATGATTTGGCGGCAAGAAGAAGTTTAAGTTGTCTGCACTTGCAGACGATGCACAGCAACTTTAGTTTCCATGAAGCTTTAACATCCTTGTTGGAAGACTAACTCAGAGCATATTTGTTTTTCCTACAAGATAGATACGGATGACTCTTGATTTTTCTTATTGCAGTATATATGTACAGGTTATTTACAGTTTTATTTTCTCTACTCTAGTATTTAGTATACATAATTAAAATCACTAATGGCCGTTAATAATGAAAAGCTTGCTCCTATTGGTTGGACAAGACGAGAAGTTGAAAGAAAAAAAGGGGCAAGCAAAGGAAAATTTGATGTATACTTCTATTCTCCTAGAGGAAAGCTATTTCGATCCAAGAAACAAATTCAAGAATATATAGAAATAAATAATCCGTCTTTTAGTATTGATGATTTCAAATTTAGGTCTTTGACTGTTCAATCTGATTCTCAAAATTCCCTATGTCAGCAATCCGACTGCTCTACTGACTTTGATAACTCGCTGTCACTAGAAGATGAAATGAGCAGATCTCTTTTAGAAGAAAATGAGAATTTAAAGCAAGATTTGTACAATTTCAGACTCCAAAAATCTAAGGTGGAATTTGAATTAGAAGACAGGTTATTGGCCAAAGAAGAGCAAATAAAGAATCTCTTGGAGCAATCAGAAAAAAGAGAGGAAGAACTGGCTCAAAACATACAATTTCTAGAAGGTAAACTTAGAGACAGTGAGAAACTAGTTGAAACTATCTCCACTGAAGCCAGCCAAGAGAGAGAAGATTTAATTCGCAAGTTGGAAAATTTAAAAGAACAGTACAACACAAGCAAAAATATGAAAGCCAAAGAAACAATTGAAAATAAAATAGAAACTGTAAATGCCTCAACACAATGTCTGGTGTCCTGTAACCTGGAAAACAAAGCTACCTCAACTATACAAACAGATTTTGATTTAATCCACACCACACTAAGCAATGACTGGCTAGGTGATGAAGCTTTAGAGTTGTATTTTGGTGCTCTATCTGATAAAATGGTGATTGACTCTAAAACCTGTTTTATCAGCCCCTCTGTAGTTCAGGCAATTAAGTGTCTTAATAATTATGATTCCTACACAAAATCAATGAATTTAGAGGACAAATCTTACATTTTCGCCCCTGTAAACAATGCTGACCCTGCCTTGAGTGTTCCAGGCTCACATTGGAGTCTTCTGTTTTATTCAAAGATAAGCAATATGTTTTATTACTTTGATTCAATGGGCCAACATAACCTGCAGCATGCTAAAGATCTCTACAATAAACTAGCCAAGTATACTGGCTCTCAAACAACTCCCGCCTTCAAAGTAGTACAGAGCCCACAGCAACAAAACAGTTACGATTGTGGTATATATGTACTGTTAATGGTGGACTGCCTTATTGCAACCATTGAACAGGGCGAAAATGAAAATTGTATTGAGAGCTGTTCTGCAAGCCTTGATTTCAGCCAAACGGATGCCATTTCAAAACGCTCTCTTTTGGCTTATCTTAGCTACAACCAACAGTACAAGAAAATCAAGACTGAAGTGTTTAAGTCCTTGATGAAAAATGTCCATGATATAGACAAAAAATCAAAATATGGACAAAAAATCAGCAATGCTTTGCAAAACAATGACCTGCACGACAACACTGAGTTTCGCTCATCATCCCAGCAACTAAGTGGAACTACAGCACCTGAAATTTCTTCTGCTTCTCCTAGATTTACCTGCAATGCATGCTCCTTAGTTCAATCCGAAACTCAAAACCAAAATAAACATAAAAAATGTAAAAATGGCTTAAAAAGTTCTGTCACTAACCAAAATAGTTCTCAGTCTGACCAACAACCTGATGAAGATATTTTCCCCCAGCCAAGCCAAGAAAATAAGAAAGAATATTTCAACAACCCAAGGAAACAAACAAATTTGAAGGTCCAACCAAAAAAATGTTATAACAATAGTAAAACTAGAAGTTATCGTCAAAAAACACCTTTTACCGTTAGCCAAGGTAGCAACTTAGATACTAGTGGTAGGTCAAAACACCAGATATCATCTATTTCCACAAAATTTCTCAAAACTGAGGCTACAATTTGTACCGATAGCCAAGGAAAAAATCTAGCATGGAAGGTGGAAGAGCTAAGTCAAGGGAATGTGAAGTCTTTTGGCTACGTCAGACCCAACACGACATTAATGCAAGTCATCAGCTCAGCTAAGGAAGACAGAAATACTAGACCTACTCCATTACTGATTCTTGGTGGTACAAACGATAGTTTAAATGCAGACTTTAAAGATATCTACAAAAATCTTGAGAAAGACCTCCGATCACTCACTAAAATTAGACCAGTGTTCTTATGCACAATTCCTACAAGATACGATAAGAATCTACATGGTATAGAAAATAAGGAGATAAATATGATGAACAACTACATAAGGGAGATTGCAGTGAGAATACCCCGAGTTGTATTAATCAATCTACAACATCTAACAAGACGCTATTACACTACCCATGGCTTACACCTCAACATGGAAGGCACTACCAAACTTGCTCGTATATTCCTTAAGGCCTTAACTTGGTGGGAGGCTCAAGACTTGCAACCGCAGAGCAAGGTAAAGCAATCTCCAATCAATGTGGTTGAAACTAATATGAACAATATGATTGAAAAATACAAAAATAAAAAAAACACTGCATTTGCCCACTGTATATCAGCTGACTTTGGAGCAGACAGGCAAATGACAGCTGGTGTAGCTGTCATCTTCAAGAAACAGTTCGGGAAGCCAAAATCCTCCGACTGTGTGACAAAACATCTGGCCTATCAACAAGTCCAGGATGGAGCTGGAGTGTATGCACTTGTCACCAAGGACAAATTTAATCAAAAACCAACTATGTCCAACTATGATGCTGCTTTTGAAGATTTCATTGCCGATTTCAAAAGAAGAGGATTTCAGAAACTAATCTGTTCAGCAATGGGATGTGTCCGGGACAAAGTTTCTACAGAACACTTTGCCTCTAAAATAATTACCTTCCAACACCTTACTGGAGCTACTGTGGATATTGTGACTTACAATCAGCAGTCTTCACGCACACTGTGGAATGGTCTCACATACAGCGAGTTCAACACCAACCTGAGGTTAATTATTTCATCTGAGTCCCAGCAGCCCTCTTCATCTTCATCTTCATCTTCAAATCAAGAAAGTGCAAACAAAGTTCCACATGAAGCTGTGTCTGGTGGTAGTGAAAAAAATCATGGGCAATCTAGTGTTGGTGAAATGTGCATGCCTACAGCGGTTTTAGATTTAAACTAGATTATTATGACAATGAAATTAGTTCAGCATTAAAAAATTACTTTACCCATATAAATAGTGAGGAAAAGAAAATCAATAGTTACATTTCACATTCTTCAACCAAAACCCAATTGGAAAATTCTCAAAAAGAATTGCAACTACAAAATTGTCAAACTAAATCTAAATCAAAACATTCTCAGGCTCAATTAGATCTCCATAATTTACAACCCCCAAATAACATTCAACCTCCTAATCTAAAAATATTTCACCAAAACGTACAACATCTGTCATCACGTTTAAATATCTTAAAAATTAACTTGGAAGAATTAAAGCCAGATATAATAGCCTTATCTGAGCATAAAATGAATCAGTCCGAAATTCTCTCTCTAAATATCGAGGGATACAAAAGATGCTCCTCTTTTACAAGAAATTGTTCCCTAGGAGGGGGGGTCTTAATACTAGTTAGAAATGATATTATAAACATTAAAAGTAAACATCTTAAAATTCCTGCTATTCAAAACCTCGTCATGGAAAAGGAGTTTGAATGTTGTTTATCTGAGATAAATGTTACTAACTTTACATTTGTACTGGTTTGTATTTATAGATCCCCAATACAATGCTTGACTGAAAGTTTTCTGGATAAGCTTGATTCTATGTGTAGTATTTTAACTAGTAAATTTAAGAATATTGTTATTGTAGGCGATTTTAATATCAATGTATTAAAAAAAGATAAAATTTATTCTGCTTTTACTAATGTTTTAAGATCATATAACTTGAAATATAAAGTTGATTTCCCTACTAGAGTGGCGTCAGAGTCAGAAACTGCCATTGACAACATTATTACAAATATAACTGATAAAAAAACAAATATATCTGGTATTATAACATGTATTTCAGATCATGATGGACAGATGTTTGAAATTCTAGGTGTAAATGATAAACCCAAATGTGTAAATAAAGTTAATAGGAGGTGTTACTCAGACACTAATGTGGATATATTTTTAACTTTGTTAGCCAATGAAAACTGGTTGGAGGTGTACCAAGCCCCAGTAGATGCTAAATATGATGCCTTTCATTCTGTGTTTTCTTATGCATTTGAAACAACTTTTCCTAAATTATTAAGGGCTGAAAAAATTAATAACAATAAAAATGCTTGGATTTCCTATGATATAAAACATAAAAAAGGATATATAGCGGATTTGGAAAAGCAATACAGAAATCTAAAAACGGATTCCCTAAAACATAGAGTCAAACAGTTAAAAAAAGAACTGAAATTCCAAATATTAAACGAGAAAAAGCAATATTTTGATAGAAAAATATCTGATTCAACCAACAAGTCTAAATCAACTTGGAAAATTGTCAATTCTGAGATTAACAACAAAACAAAACAAGAAAAAAACATTAAAGTAGTATTAAATGGCAAGTGTGAATCGGACCCCACATGTGTAGGAAACATATTTAATGATTTCTTCACAAACCTTGTGGAAGATCAAGTTCTTCCTAATATTAACATAAATACAACTTCACAATCAAACTTAATAAATTTACAAAAGCCTAAGAGTAGTTTCAAATTTAAAGAAGTCAATGAAAAAGATATTGAAAAGATAGTTAAATTACTCAAAAATAAATTTTCAACAGGAGTAGATGATATTCCAATTACCCTTGTTAAGCGTGTTTTCCCAATTATTTCAAGACCATTAACACACATTATTAATTCATCTTTAATTAGCGGTATCTTTCCTTCTAAACTAAAAATTGCTAAAATAATACCGGTCTTTAAAAAGGGGGATGCCAATGATCCTTCTAGTTACAGACCAATATCATTGCTACCAGTTTTTTCAAAAATCCTTGAAAAAGTTGTATACAACCAGTTGTTGGATTTTTTGGAATCAAACCAGTTGCTGGATCAAGAGCAATATGGTTTTCGACCAGGAAGATCCACAACCACTGCTAGCATTAACTTCATTGAATCAGTTATCAACTCAATTAACAACAATGAAAAAGTTGTTGGAATATTTTTGGATTTTTCTAAAGCTTTTGATAGTGTCTCACATGATAAATTACTTGAAATTCTTCATGGCCTAAACATAAATAATAAAGAATATAATTGGTTCAGATCATATTTAAACAATCGGAAACAATGTGTTCAAATTCGACATACCTCATACTATCCAAATTGCAAATATGCATACACCCAAAATGTCTTGTCCAACATTAAAACAGTAAAGTATGGTGTCCCACAGGGATCTATACTGGGTCCCTTGTTGTTTCTTTGCTACATAAGGGGTTTTCCAGGAGTTGTAAATGCTGGAGGATCTGTATGTCTGTATGCAGATGATACAAACATAACAATTACAGGCAAATCTCAAGAAGAAGTGGAACTAAAGTCTTTTTTAAATTTATTGTCAGTAAATGAATTCACAAATAACAAAAATCTACTAATAAATTCAAATAAATCTAATATTTTATCTTTCTCCACAAGGCAATCAAGATTAAAATTACAACCAGATATATATCTTAATGGTTCAAAATTAAATCAAGTGGAGCACACTAAATTTCTTGGTCTAATATTAGACCAGCATTTAACCTGGGATGAGCATGTGAAACATGTGGTAAAAAAATCTACAGCTGGTATTTATGCTTTGCGACAAATGTCCCGTGTCTCAAGCATTGAAACTCTTAAAACTATTTATTTTGCTTTGATAAATTCACATATAGCTTATGGAATAGCTTTATATGGTGGTACCACAAAAAAAAACCTAGACAAAATTCTACGTCAACAGGAAAAAGCTCTTAGAATTATCTTTAGTATAAAAAACAGAGAATCAGTTAAAAAATATTTTTCTAAATTGGGTATAATGACCATCTATGATTTATACATTTTTGAAACTATTCTACATGTAAAAAGTTCAGATTATCAAACTAAAAATTTCCACAGTTACAATTTACGAAACACCAGGCATGTAGAACAACACAGATTGAAGTTATTTGAGAAAAAAACCAGTTTCATTGGCAAAAAATTTTTATTTAGCCTACCCAAAAATATTTTCAATGAACATAATTACAGTAGCTTTAAAAAACTACTGAAAAACTATTTGCAATCTAAATCATTATATTCAATTGAAGAGTTTTGGAATTTAAATGATTAGAAATATGTTATGTTAAGATTTATGTTTGTAATCTATTATTTAGGATACTTGTATACCTAATTTTTTGCTTATCTTTTCCTTTCTGTGACGCAATTCATGTATTTGCTGTAAAATACTTGATGAATAAAGATGATTTGTATTGTATTGTATTGTATTGTATTGTCGTTCGCTACGCTAACTCGCCTCCAGGTTGAAGTTCGTTCGCTACGCTCACTCACCTTTTGGTTGCAAATTAGCTGTTGTCATAAATGTAAAAGAAATAATAGTGCTGCACCCTGTTGGCAAATCCTTGTAACTTTAATGCTATTGAACATCACAGAACAGAACCAACTTGTTTAATTGAAACAGCTGTTAAGATTCAATAATTCCATTTCTCATAAGGTTAACATGGGAAACTCCAGAGCCACTGGGGCGGAGCCCGAAAGGATTTTTGAAATAATAATATGCCTATATGTTAATCGGGAATGTGAGCTATCATCATGCCAAATTTCAGCCCAATCCGACCAGTATTTTTCGCGCTCACTTGTCACAAACATACATCCATACATCCATACATCCATACATCCAAACTTTCTCATTTATAATATTAGTAGGATTAGTAGGATAACATTTTTCATTTTTTGGTCAAGTTTATATTTACCTAGCTAAATATTAAAATGCCACAACATTGACTAAACGAGGCAACGATTAGACATGCCAGATCTTGGGTTAAAGGATTGCTGCGACTGGTGAAAGTTGCTTTTTATTTATTTCTTTATTTGTTTACAGGCTAATTTGGATCAAGCCAAGCAAAGTGTTCACCCTGAAATACCTCCATGGCTGCTTCATCCTACATTTCTAAATCATTCATATGCAACGGTAGACGTTCCGACATACTGTGGAACCAGGTTAGTAGGCCTGTTAAAACTGATAGTTTTTGGGTTTTCCGATGTTACGGTGTTGTCCCAATACTTATTTAACTTTGGGACAAACAAGTATAGAAACTATATCCTTGCAGTTTAGGGCTTTGCTTGGATTTTACTGTCAGAATTGTTGGTTTATTGAGCCAATTCAAAACATAATTGCAAAATAATAGTTACAGTAGAACTCCAATCATTCAAAATCCAACCATCTGAACTATCCGAATCACTTACGGAAAGAATTTTAAAACCTAAAACTACAGTAACTAGATGCACAAAATAACAAAGAATCATTATTAAAGAAGGCAGATGCCGTGATCGCATCAAAATCCTGATCATCTCCTGCGATTATGTAGAAATTATTATTGTCTCTCCACAGTCACGTAAACATCATTGTCTTCTGTGATTGAGGCAAAATTCTGAACAACTCAATCGGTCAAGTAGACATCATCATTGTCTCCCGCGGTTACATTTAAAATCATCATTGCCTTCTGCAGTCACAGAAACGTCATCAAAAGCATGATTTTCTATCACAAACTCTTCGCTCAAGTATTTTGCAATTGTGATAATATCACAATAAGAAAAGTTCCACATGAGCTCAATTTCGAATACTTGGTTCCTCATGTCTCAATCTTTTAGGCTTGGCTCAAAAATCTAGCCGTTTGCATACCACTACTAAACCCTTACATCACTTCTAGTATGTGCACTATATTCTGGACAAATGTTCTTTTTTGTTCATTTTTATAACACTTAGACCTACATCACCAAAAATGAACTATTTTTGATCAAATTCGCTGAATTTCTGTACAGTTCCAATAATTTGAATGTGGTACAGTACCAATTGATTCAGTTAGGCCTACCGATAGTTAACGATTTCTACTGAAGTAGCAGATTGGCTTGATTTAAAACAAATCAGGAGATATTTGAAAACTAAAATAGTAAATTAGCAAGATCAAATGTTCAACATTGTTGAATGTCAACAAAACAGTTAACGGTTATCTTTGTTCTTATAATCCCTCAAACACTTAAAATGCTCAGTCACTAATTTAGAAATAATTTACAGGTTAAAGTCTTGTGTTGAGGTGAGTGAGCCGACCAGTTTAAACGAGCTACAACCTGTCCCTGTGAGTCAGGACACGCAACATCATGTTGAACACCCTGTGAGTCCTCAGACTAAAGTGTGGTGGCCTGAACCTCAAGTCCACATAGAAGTGGAAATCGAGGATGCGCCGAAAGATGTAAGTGAAATTGATCTGTCTTCTCACAATTTTTCTACAAGATAGATTGTGACTTTATCAGATTACTGAAAACCGTGGAAGAGGAACCTAGTAGTGAGAAAGTACAGTAGGCCACCTAAAACATAACAAGATTAGATAAAATCTAACTAAAGATGGAATATCAAATTTCCAAAAGTAGGTATCACAAACACTTTTCGGTCTTAAGTTGTCTAAACCCTATTTTTGTTATGTCAGTCTGATCTCAGTCAAGTCTGAGACGCTAACCACTGGGCAACAACAACAACACCCCAGCACAATTTACCCCAGTTGTTGGTTGAGTTCATCAACTTTTAGGTATTAAAGAAGTGTTGTCTCTAGATCGTTGTGTTTTCACAGAAGGATGTGACTGCCAGGTTCCATTGCCAAACTTGCGGCAAAGGTTTTCCTTCCGCTTCCTCTCTCCTCGGCCACGAACACAACCATGTGACGCAGCAGCGGCCGTACGAGTGTGAGACGTGTTTTAAGAAGTTCGCCACCAACTCCCATCTGACCACTCACAAACGTACACACACTGGGGAGCGCCCTTATATTTGTCAGGTAAGACGGGATGTCACTCAAAAGCTGACTTGCTAACTCGAACCTTAAATAACTATCTCTAGCTATTTTTACATACTCAATCAAAGAATTATACAGAATGGTAAAAACATGTTACGATAGAATGTTGATAGTGATTTTTACAAGGATTTATCTAATTTGTTAAATAGATTCCCACATGTTCGTAAAAACCTGGAAACTTAAAAATCCTTGAAATCGATAGACCTCAATTTGTTTTATGTTCCTCTTTCACATCCTTGGACGCTAGAGTCTAGCCCGGAACTGTGTTACACACTACTTCAGGTTAGTCCTAGAAGGTCGCTGGCATTATCACTTAGATAAGATATACCTAACCAGCTTGATCACCAACCTCAGTATTGTCCTGAAGTTATATTTTTGTACTGTAACTTTTGTTAGATATCCTAATTTACTGTATTTTATCTGGAAATTTTGATGTCAATCTTTTGGAAGGTTTTAGATCGCAATTAGTTGACAGTTGTTTTTGGACACATGACATCAAATTTGTTACACAAGGGGGGGGGGGGGGGAATCCTTTAGGATTACTTTGACAGGGCTGTTTTAGTTATTCTAAAAAAAATAATGTCTTTATGACATCTCCTTTACAGGTGTGCAGAAGATCATTTTCCGACAGGTCAGCGTTCGTGAAGCACGAGAGGACTCACGGCCCTGACGGCACGGTCATAAAAAGGTACAAGTGTGACATTTGCGGAAGTCAGTTCACGGACAACTGCGGATTAAAGAAACACATCAGGATCCACACAGGCGAGCGACCGTACCAGTGCGACGTCTGTGAAAAAGCCTTCTCCACCAGCTCTACGTTTGTTGCACATCGAAGGATACACACCGGTAATATTGATTTTGAGCTAACATATTTACAGTAGAAGTGATGTTGGTTAATATCCCAAATTCTAACATTATTTTGTTAATAGAATACTGTACCCTATTACAGCTGTTGCCACTTTGGGAATAAAAATAAACGTTGTTGTTGTTTATTTTGAGTACACTGACTTTAACCCAAGCTGAACTAAATGGACAACTTATCAAATATTTTTAAGGAGAAATTACAATCTAGACAGAAGCACACTCTGAGAGGTGCATTAAACTATGCTCTTTAAATAAAAGTTTGACTACAGCTGATTAAAGTAGAACTTATCAAATATTTTTAAGGAGAAATTACAATTTAGACAGACGCACACTCTGAGAGGTGCATTAAACTATGCTCTTTAAATAAAAGTTTGACTACAGCTGATTAAAATAGAAGATGTTTACTTTATTTATCAAAGAGGATTCAAGCTAATAGCCAAGTACACAATACATTAATCTTGATATTTCGCCCCTCCAAGAATACTTCTTTAGAAAATGTAACTGCTTTAGTGATTGGTTCATCTCTTAATTGATAGGTACCAGATCAATTATTTGCGTTTTCACCATCATGTGTAGGCACTGTATAGTACATGATGATACCAACTCTGCCTCCTTCTTTAAACTCCATTCCACCATCGATAACCATGAATCTTACGATTCTTTTTCTCTAACAGTGATTTATTTTTCTAGGCGAGAGACCCTACAAGTGTGATCAGTGCGGTAAAATGTTTGTGACAAAATCTCATCTGTTGACCCACGGACGAGTGCACAGTGGGGAGAAGCCGTTTGTTTGTTCCGTCTGCAACCGCAAGTTTGCCGACGGCTCGAGTTTTCGACGGCACGAGAGACTTCACACAGGCGAACAACGACACAACTGCCAAGTCTGCGGAAAGGGTTTCCCAGTCAGCGCTTCACTAGAAAAACACATGCAGCAGAGCCATACGTACTCGTAGCAGATGTTGTAGTTAACTTGGTAAATAATATTTGTTTAAGCTATTTTATTCAGATTGAATGCACTGATATTGAAGATTGTTCATTTGGAATATAAAATTTGTAAGGAAATATTTTATTGTGAAGTCAATCAGGAAAATGGAAATTCGCTTAGTCAGTATGTTTTCTGTGGCGGGGTCATTTCCCCTTTATGTTAAGATTTTTACCCATAATGCTACTTACTGTATTCCAAATTAGCATTACATGAACTTACTCATAAAAAAAAAAAAAAATTCTTGGGATGAGCTGTTCCCATTCATGTATAGTGTGCAAAGTCTTTGGTAAGGCCACTTGAACAATTAAAAGCGAGCTTAATATTTCATTTATATTTTGAAGTTATGAGAAGAGGTATAATAAATTAAAATTAAACGTATTATGAAGCTTTAAATATGGCGCACGCACAGAGATATAAGACTAGTGTCTTTGTGCAGCAACTTAATACGTGTGGTTAAAATACGCATATAAGCGGTGTCCCCATCTAAATGATGGATGATTGATTATAATAATAAACCGGAGATTAATATTTATCTTCAAAAATGTAGAAAGAAAAGGCAGACGGAAAGTGAAATCTAAAATAGGTGATCAACATCTGGCGAGCAAACAAAAAATAGTGTAACTAACCTATGCTCTAGCATGTTAAACCTGGGAGAAAGGGGATTTTTATTTCCTCTTCTCTATAATTTGATATGGCCTGGGCCTATGTTTTATTTAAGAAGGTTAGTCAAAAAATAACATTGAAAACTGAAGTACCTGATTTGTTAGATATTTACCTACAAAGTTATAGCATCACATTACAGATCTTTTAATTTTTTCCGAAACTAGCCTGAACGCTTTTATTATAAATGTGGACTATCTATCAATAATTTTTGTTTATAAGATATATTATTTACAATGCTATTGAATTACTCTACTACAGTATAACTCCAATTATCCTAACTCCAACTATCCAAATCGCTTACTAAACAAATTTAAACAACTTTTAAACTACAGTAAAGAAGGCTGAAGCCGTGATCGTGGCAATACGAAAATCTTCTGCGGTTGACAACTTAATTGTTGTTTCTCGCGGTCATGGGGAAAACCACACTGACTTCCGTGATCGCTGCAAAAACTTGTCTCCTGCGGTCTTGAAGACATCATGATCGTCTCATATGATCTTGGAAACATCATCATTGTCCTCCGCGGTCACGGAAAAAGCGTGAAATTTGTTATTGTGAAATATTCGCAGAAACATTATGCGATGGCGAGATAGTAAAAGCTCGGGTCGATTTGATCTATTCCTGTCAAATACTCCAAATTTTCCCAATGTTGATCGGTTCGATTTTGGTACGGTTCCAATTAATTTGGAGGGTTGGAGTTATACAGTACTTGTGATGTTTTAAATTAAAGAAGAATGTATTAAAATTTCTGCCACAGCAATAGAATTCAGGGTTAAAAACTTGTTTTAAATTAATATTTTATTTAGAATTTTATTCTTATTTTACCTTGTTGTTGTGTTTATATGATGTAAATATCAATGTGTATGTATGTACATATACACAATTATTACGATTTATTAACGACAATTGAATGAACCACTACCATAATGTTTAGTCACTAGGTTATATTTTTTATTTAGATTTAATTGATTTTTGAGTATATTTTGTTTTTAATGTGAAAACCCTATTTTATACTTGTTGTATCCAATTAAATGTCTGTTTTTAGTAACACTCTTTGTTTTTAATATTTTCCAAATCTCAAATAGGCATTGCTTCAGAGAAAATGATCAGCAAAAGCCATTCAGGCAAATGGAATTTTGCTTAATCTGCAGGTTTGCTGCACTGTAGGCATGTTATTTTTAGTATAAAGACTCTGGAAACAATCTCTTACCTAAGTAGTTAAAACTAGCAACAAATATTGGAAAGTAAATTAAAATGAGTCAAAAGGTTTAAATTTTTGTTTATTGCACTTATAATATAACAATAAATATTAGTAATAATGACTATACAATCCTTTACACTTTCAATTTGACATTACATGCATTTTTTATAAAGTAGAATATACAAAAACCTACTTTATCTCAAATAAACCCTCTTATATACAATTCCTTTTCTCTTCTCGTTTATAAAACTAACGTGACTTTACTTTTACATAGTTAACAACCTGATCACCAATTTTAATCCACAATCTATTCCTTTCATAGTTAAGGTTCAACTCATACGAGAGATATATACAAGATAAAAAGTTTCATGCCGAGAGGAAATTCCCGAAAAACATTAATTTTAAATCACATTAGTAAGGCATCTAATTTTAGCAAATTATTAAAATAATTATTTACACTACAGATAAAATATTGATATAAAACAGTTCATAAAACGAGCAAAACAACAATAACGATCCTGTCTAAAATCTTCACAATTGGATAGGACATTTTATTTCAGTAATGAGAATATTACTTAGTAATAAGCCCTAAGTATTAAGCCAGTGTCAATTTTCGGGTTAAATAACATGGTAGTTTATTTGTTTTGTTACTAACAATTATTCAAAATATATCAATTTTTTTAAAGTCTGAGATTCTAAATTACTAGTGATGTAAAATTATATTCACAATACATAACTCATAATATTTAAATATACTTCTTAGATTACAATTTAATTTAAAGATGCAATTTGTTGTGAAAATTGTCAAAAAATATCTTTGAAGTTTATTGATAGGTATTCATGTTTATAGAAAAAGAGATGCTACACCCAAAATCAATTTTCAGAAAAACTAAATTTGTGGCAATAAATCTTTATGGTATGCATTACAGATTTAACCAGATTTGATAATGTGGATGAAATATTACTGTCCAAAATTAAAAAACTAATTGTACCTCATTTCGTAGCCACAAACCTAAGACAAATCCATTCCTTCAATAAAAAAATGTTACAAAATATAGTAGCCTTCCATAATAATGTTCATTCCTGGAAGGAACAATGAAAAAATATGATTTAATCAACTGATACCTCTTTTATATGCATCCATAAATATAACAAGTTGTCACATAAAATCGTGATTGAAAACGGCACACATTTGGTGATAAACGTAATTCATAAAGCTTAGAGCTGCCCAGAAATCTTTAACAATATTTAAAACAAAAACTTAACCTAAGACTATTCAATCTACTCTTAACTCTAAAGGCTTATTTCATTTGGTCCGAACCAAGATCTGATCAAAACTGATCAAACTAAACCTGACGTACCTTCTGTACAATGATTTTAAAAACAAAACTAGCTTTAAAATAAAGTTGGATTTAAATTATCCAACTAATTCTTAAATGTAGGCATAATAAACATTTTCAACAACATACACATTTGATTTAAAAAATTTGATTTGAAGAATGATTATTTAGCTTCAATATATGTAGTCTAATTAATAATAAATTTTCCTCTTCTAATCAAATTTTTAATTGAACAATAAAGAGGTGCACTGGTTTAACCTTATACTTATAAACATATGGTAAAGAGTTAATGTATGCAATATTTGTGATCAATATTTAACATATGGTAACTAGAATACTAAATATTTTACAAATGGCTTAAAGCTGTAAATAAGAAAGTAACGGGAAATAATCGATAGTATTTTTAACCTAAAAATAGCAAATTTAAATAAATTTACCTGTACAGTAGTTTTTATCCCTCTTAATGAGATTATGAAGGCAATTCATATTAGAACGGACATTGTTAACACGTTCGCGGCGGCATGGGAGCAATCGCTCCCATACGGAACCCTAATGCCATCCTGGTGGGTGCGATCACTCCCAAGCTGCAATGCAGTACGAGATGATTTTTCTTTAAGCTAGGATTAGAGCTAGAAACTTGAAACCTCGCACAGCACTACTCAGTAGTATACTGTATTTTTTGTGGTGTAGGTTGGTAGTAAATTTCCCCGTAAAATCCCCGTCTGGCAATCTCAAAAATGTACTTTTTGTCCCGTTTTTTTCCCTTCATTTGGCAATACAATTCCAATGAGACCGGCTACGTTCCAAGCAGTGCTGCTATCTGTGGGTGTTTAGCGAACTACGTCGACGTAAAGCAGGACATCCTCGCACGTTATTTGCTATACGTCAGACCGAAATTGGAAAGCCAATCACACGCGGCAATCGGGTTTGTTCGACGCTGAGGGCTGCGCCGCACTGGGGATAAGCCCGCCATTTGACGTGCCGCCGCGAACGTGTTAAAGCATTGAAGTCATTATATCAATAGAAAATGTTTTCTGTACAGATTTATCATTAAAATAAGGTTGATTGACGATAATATTGAATTTTGAAAGATAAAATTGTTAGTAAACAAAACCAGTATGAGAACATGGAATTTTACACACGAAAACGTTTTTGCAATAGGCCTACTGCCAAAACTTGTTGCTCTTCTACAATCTAAACAATGTTGTAATATTAATCTCTTCATGTTACTTTCTTCTTCCCGAATTCTCGACAAATCTGCTTTAAAGCAGAGGCTTAGACATATTGAGAACGCTAGTTCACTCACTATAGTTTGACTGACTATAAAATACGAGTTTAAAAACTAATCCAGGGATGAAATATTTTCTCTGAGCACCTAGCGAGTTTTAAAAACGGGTTGACTTAAAACCCAGTTGAGAAATACACCCTACCCTTGTTCCATGATCCTAAAGACGAGTTCCAGCACGCACGGATTGTCTTGTGACGCCAGCGCTGCCTGATGGACTACTGCAATCAACTCTTCGTCCAGACTCTTCATGTAGAGCGGGGGAAGTTTCTCACCATTGCTACCAGCCTCATAACCGACCTGCACAAAAACAGAAGAAAACTTTTGTTAAAAGTTGGCACTCAAAAACAGCTGATAGTCTGACGCTGTAATCTGACACCCATATGAGTGATTTACTAATGTGTAGACAGTACTAGACTTTCATTTTTGCTATGACCGGTAATCAGCGTCTTTCAGGTTGTGGTCTTTATTTAGCCCAATGGCTAAATGATCTGTGGTTTAATGATGATGATGAGTAGATTACATACTGTGATTGATTTTTTGTCAGTTAAACCATAGACTAAGCACCACAAGTAGACTTCTCATCCCATTGTAAATTTTGAAGCTTGTATTTTTGTGTTTAGCCCTACTTCATGTGCATCGACACTGATCGCTAGTGTAGACAAAATTTTATTAATATTATTGTAGGGATATTTTCATGATTTGTGCTCTACTGTTTGGTTATATAACTAAGAGACCAGTCATTGTTTATGATTAGATTGTTTTGGTTTAACGATGTTTTAAATTACGGTACTGAAATTACAAGAAACAAATTGTAAACAAAACACAACCTCTACAGTGCGAAGTGCGACGTACAGAACTAACAATCAAATTGGCTTCAGCTGATCCATAAGGTTGACAAATCTACCAAGAGTTATTATCTAGCCTATCCATAGTTTTATTCATGGTTAAACTAAATAAGTACAAGTTTGGGCTACAGTTAATTGCAGGCCTAATTGAATTTAATTTTTTTTTTATTTAAGCCAGTTTTATAAAAAATTGTTGATAACCCTCTCTCACAGAGTGTGTTAGTGAGAGTTTTTCAGTTTGGTAAAAAATTTGGCATATTCGACAAATGTCAGTAGTTCTAATCAACACAATCGGTGGCTCCACTTTCTTTTCAAACTGGCAACAACTTTTAACACTGGATTCAAGCCTTCTAACGATATGACTGCAAGACTTACATTGTCTGGATGTATTGTTGTCCGTACAGCTAATGTAGAAAACGAAGCGGCAGACAACAGGTCCAGAAGCGGCACGAGGGCAAGGCAGGTGGCTCGGGCGATGGACTCGGACAGTCTACTGATGTCTAGAGGCTCGCTCGAGTGTTCAGAGTCATCACACTGAAAACATACAACTGTATAGTTGGATAACCTATAAAATATATTAAGAACTTTCCAAGCACAATAATCACACTCACCAAGATATCTATGACCATGAGATAAATGAACGTCTTCACAAGAACTTCTTCAGAGAGTGGATTGAACAGAAAATTTCATACAATGTCAGATAATGTTCAAGACTAGAGAAATCTTTAGTGCTACAAACTGAGGCCATATCAGTAGATTTTATATAAAAAAAGTCGTATGGTGGGAAATATTGACAACATGTTTTGTGACCTTCAATTGAAATACATACTTCAATTTTCCCAGATAAGCTAGCCTGAACTCTACCCCTTGAAAATCCTTATTTACTATTCAGCTATAGAATATAACATTTCTGTTCTCTCAAAATCAAAACAATTAGATTACCTGCAGAATGAATACTTCCGTCCATCGGATAATACGAGTCCCGCCAGAGTAGTCCGTCCCGTTGTGGACTCTAATAGAAGGCACTCCATCCAATGGCCTCCCATCTATACTGCTTTTCACTCTGGAAATGACGTGAAACGTAAGTTTATTTTTATTTCATTCCAATTTCAGACTATAAATAGGTTTACAATGACCTTACTAAAATCTCTCATTGGTTTAGCATACCGATATAAATAGTATGCAATTATATTTAACCAATAATTGGACATTTGGGCCGAATATGAACCAGCTCACTCTTCCTTCAACAAAGCTCCAGTTTACTCACCCGATGTTGAAGTTGGTATCATCTGCGGTCCACAGCAAGGCGACTGTCTCCTCGGCGTTGGGTCCACAGCCGATGGTGTAGTCGCGCATGTCACGCAGCGCGGTCCGCAGAGCTGTCATCGTCTCACTTGGCACCTGCACCATCAGTCCATCCTCTACGATGTTGGACTTGCCCGCCAACCCTGGCACTTTGAGGGCACCGTTAAATACGACAAAACTGGCCCCAGTCACTGTAACAGGGATTACAAGTTTGTAAGTATTGGAGTAACCGATTCCAAAATAGTTCTATTCTGATATTAAACTTGTGGATTCAATTCTGAATTCCGGATGTAATTTCGATTGCAGAAAAGGTTAGCAGATACAATGATTAAAAACAGAGTGGTTTACAATTTTCTGGGAAGAGTAACTATTTGGTTCAAAGAAAAAATTAAAATCATGATTTATTAATAAATAAACTTATTTACAGTGACAGAATTATTAGAGAACCACGAATGTTCAAGACCAGAAAATGTGTAATCTTTTTTTTGCTAGGGTTTTAGAAATATTCTTTTCAGTTTGCTTTGTACAATCCGTTATACGCTAGCGGGATCTGTCGTCTGGTCACATCTTTATTTTTACAAAAGTAGGTGTCTTGTACTTTGGTAGTAAATATAACAAATTTTAACATATAATAGTTAAATATGGCACGTTTGTGAAAGATTTGAATTAATTATTAGTGGGTGAATTAGTGAACGACTTCAACAGTGCTTATGGAACACCGGCATCTCTCATTGTGGAAACTTCCTCGGTACTTATGAGTGACCGGGGTCCCATAACTTGATGACGTCAATTCCTGACGATTTTATCTTTATATATATATATATATTTTTGTTACTCAACAAGTATCCTACATTGATATTCAGAATAAATTTAAAAACAAATAATTCCAGGTCTGTCTAAAAGATATTTATCAACAGTAAAAGTGACCAATGATTTACATTATTATAAAGATAAAATGCCATGATGAAAAGACTTGGACAAAAAGTCAAGAATTGACACTGACCTTTACGAGGCTTGTTGTGAATGTTGATAGCCTGCGTGGTGTACGCAGTGTTCTCGTCCTCCGCAGTCTGCATGCACACGAGGTGTGAGTCGGCCGCTAGACTCAGATTGGCACCAAACGCCAACACACTGTCGTTGGAGTTGTTCAACGCTCGGACAACCTATTCAACCGATATTGTTTGGTTGAGGAACACTGACATAAATAAATACTAAAAAGAAACTAATAGCGTTAATAGCCATAACTGTTTTGTTTAATTTAAACTAAAACCCTGATTTTGGATGACCTATTTTCGAGTAATAAATTGTAAAATTTTAATGACTATGTGTATTCAAAGAGGTGAACAACATTAGTTTTATGTTATTTTAATTGCTGACATGTCATAATCTTTCACTGTATACACAAAATATATTTTGTTTAATAATTTAGAATTATTTTCTGAAATTAATCAATCACCACCATCTGCTCCATTACATTTATTGGCCATGCCATACAAACTACTCACATAATGATGGACAATTCTCTTTATCTGGATCATTTTCTAATTGATTTGAATTTTATGATAGTTTCCCTTAACCTGGGTTTCAGTTTAACGAAGTGTGGTTAGAAAGCGTTTTAGGGTGTTATTAGACTCACCTGGTCATATCGGTTCCGAGGAATGTTGATCGTGGTCTGTCTATCCTCCATATGAATCACCAAACCCCTCACGCTGGGTAACGTGTAGGAGTATTTACGGAAGTCCTGGAAAAATTAATTATTCAATCTCATAAGATTTATAAAAGTAAAAAATTGTGCGTTAAAAACAAATTTTTACAAGAAATTTTAACAGCAAGAAAAAATCTAAATAAAACAGGTAGGCTACATGGATCGTAAGCTACAGAATTTTATACCTATTCACTTATTCATGTTCTTTTAAAATAGTGCACATTTACAACATGTAATTAAAAGATCAGTGCTTACTAACTAAAACTTCACTAAACTTCAGTGCCTTACTACAAAAGAAATGTAAAGTAAAATTGTACAAAAACTGTAAAAAAGTGAATGTTTATTATTTCATTAGTTACATATTTTAGAATACAATGTGTTGCCAGCACTTAAAAATGCACTTAGAAGCAATAGAACAGAAAAGTGGGAGATGAGGAAGAATTGAATAACTCTTCCTCATCTCCCACTTTTTTGTCTCACCTTCACATTCTAAGACACTATAGGCTCAACCCCAAAAACCCTTTCATACGTCACTTCAGTCTAGGCATTTGGTGAGTGGGTAGATTTGAACCTGAGACCTCAGAAACTAAACCCGAATTCACTAGAGTAGCGCTCTACCACTAGACCAGGTCTTTCCCTCTCATTTTCCACTAATCATTCAGTAAAAAAATATTCAATTTTTCTTTGAAATTTTAGGTCACATCTTTCTCTTCTAATAAAATATATATATATATATATCTTATATATGTATATCTTTTCTATATATATATATAAATATATATATGTATATCTTTTCTCACATGAAATCATATTAAGGTTTACAAATACTACTTGAACCTTGAACTAAACATACACTGCAGATTCAACTTACAGCCAAGATGTTGATGATGGTGTGACCGATGTCAGTATACAACGGAGGTCGGTTGCGCACAGACACCAGAGGACAAGGGTAGTAGCGGAACTCAGCTCCCAGCCTTAGCACCAACCTCAGCGGGAACAGTCTAGCCCACGGCGTCTCCCATCTAGACAAAGCCCCAAATCATCATCATCATCATCATCATCATCATCATCATCATCGGCCTTAGTCACTAACAAGACTACAAGATCGCGCCACTCATCCTACACTCATATTTGGGTTAAAATACGCACATAGTGGCGTCCCCATCTTAAATAATTGATAATTGATAATTGATCAGGCGTTCTTTGCCAAATCAATATTTTAGGTATCAATGATGATTCTCTTAAACAAGGAGACATCTTACTGACCCCTACTAGACAACAGAAAGTTGTCTTCACAGCATTTGTAATGGTAGATGTAATTTAATTTAAGCTAGCACAAACATGTACAGAATACTCATGATACAATACATGAGTACAAATAAACAACGAATAATCAACTGAATTCAATGTAATTACCGGAGTACAAGGAGATCCTCTCCCCTCACTAAAATAGTGTGTGGAGAATCAGGACAAACAAAGAACTGAGGGAAACCCATACAGACTTAGGCATAGTAGGGCAAATAAAAAGTAGAAGACTGAGATTAAGGATGTGGTGAAGAGGAGAAGATTCAATACAAAAAAGGGTGTCTGAAAATGTCCCTTGGGGAAAACGACCAGAATGACGACATTGGTAAAGAATGCAGGACTAGGTGCGAAAAGACAGGAAAGCTATGACTGGACGGCAGAGAAAGGTGGCGACTTGTTCGTGAGGCCAAATGCCTACTGAGGTCTAAATGGCCACATAGGTAGGGTTGTAATAGAAGACATTATTTTAAAAAAGCTAATAAAATACCTGTTTATAAGCAGCGCCACCAGGTAAGGGGGGTTGGGCAGCACCAGTTGTGTCAGACACTGGTAGGATGTCCTGATGTACAGGAACCCGCCGTGGTCCTTAGAGCCGAGCATGTTGGGGGTGGCTGGCGTGAAGGACATCTCACTGACTGTAGACCCTACGCACAACAATGTCCTTGACAAACCATCCTGGCTCAGGAACTAGTCAGGAATCAGAGGATGTTTAGGGAAGATTCAGTGAGGATGTTTAGGCAAGAATCAGTGAGTATGTTTAGGCAAGATTCAGTAAGGATGTTTAGGCAAGATTCAGTGAGGATGTTTAGGGAAGATTCAGTAAGGATGTTTAGGGAAGATTCAGTAAGGATGTTTAGGCAAAATTAGTGAGAAAATTTATGGAAGAATCAGCGAGGATCTTAGGCAAGTAACAGTGAGGATGTTTAGGCAAGAAACAGTAGGGATCTTTCAAGATTCTTATCTTGAGCAGTTTGAATAACTATAATACTACACAAACTTAGATTAGAAAAGAGAGGAAAATAACTGATATTTATATTCTAACCTGGGCTAAGCTAATTGCTTGATCGAATTTGTTTTATTTGCACAAAAAAAACAGCTCTTTGACAAATTAATATTATGGTTCAATTTAACTCATCATGTAATCCAACTTGTTGTAGAGATCAGTTGAATGATCTAAATATATTTTGGCATTAATGGGGCGTTGTCAGGGTGACATATATACGACATATCTGTCACACCCACACAAATAAATAAACAAATACGATACGAAAATTAATTTAATACTGTTGCTAGGCCTATCACACGATGTGAGTGGTCCTGGTGCAGGTTAATCTTTTTGCTCCTTGCTTCTTAAATCGTAATTATCAGTAAGTTATCTCATATTCCAAAGTGTATTGTGTAGTTAAAAAAAGTTAACTTATTGAGTTATGTTTGTAAAACAGAACACAATCACACCTTTAGCCGCTTCTTGATACAGGTTGTTGATTAGCAGGAAAATATCTTTGGGGGGTTGGGATTCCTCGGGAAGACACTCTAGTAGGAACACGATCTCGTCTTGACCAACGCAGGCGAGACCCTCCGTGCTGAAACACCAGCACTCTCGGTTCACACAGCAGTCCACTGAAACGTAGGAAAACATCATTTAGGACCTGCATTGTAGGCTGCAACTTAGCTAGTGACGCGTTTCAGATCATGTTTCTATCCGGTTTTACACACGTTAGAAAATGCAAATGTTTTAGTTGAGTATTCTTGAAGTGAATGTACAGAAAATAAATGTTGATAAGTTTTTGTAAGTTTCACTTAAATTTCTTTATTGTTTTTGTATCCAGGACTCGTCATGTACAATCATACATTAAAAAAAAAAACATAAAAACGTACATTCATTCTACATATACAAGTAAAACATTTTGGAGGATAAAAACGTCCTGATCCCTCAGTATTAAAAAAATCATGCCAACTCTGAGGAAGCAAAAATTGTTGGGTCCTACAAAACATCGGACACAATATATCTAGGCCTATGACAATAATGTATGTTTGTACCCAACTCATATGTGATGATTTCTTGAAATAAAACTGATATAGGCATGTAAGGTGTATGAATCTTACAAAAAACTTATCCTAAAATCATACAATTTAGGAATAAATTGTTAAAGTTTTGAGAAGGAATCAAAACAAAAGGCTTGCGGTAGGTTGATCGTCAAATGAAATAAGTTACCCTAAATTTACCCCAAAATTAACAAATATCAATTTTATATAGAACAAACTTAGTGAAATAGCCTTGCAAGTCAAGGATATTTATCAAGAACGTAAACACTTTCCACTTACACATGACCCGTTTGAGGATGACAAACAGGTTGCGATTGATGGCAAACTTGACGTTAGGCTGGTTGAGGGCGATGGGCGTCTCCAGGTCAGAGAATGTGATCTCGCCCTGCACCCTGGACACCATCGGAGGTAGATTAGAGTCGCCCTCGGCTGGGATGAAGCTAAGTGTGGACGGGTCGAGCACCCGACGCATGGACGGTGAAACAACCCCACCTGTGGATAGTTTTTGTAATTATTAGATAAATACAAAATGTAATTATCAGAAAGCTAAAAACAATTGGTGATTGGCTGGACTTGAACCCGACTGTCAACCACAGACAGAAGTCTTACAGGGTAACTACTACAGCAGACATCCTTGCCTCAAATAAAAAATAACTTGAGCCTACAAGTTAAGGAATAGTTGTACTAGACCAACAATTGAAATTACAGTGTTATCATTTTTCTAAATATAAAATATTTAAATAATTTGTGACAAAATTTTACCTGGAGGGGTACCAACTCGTTTAGTGAGTCGACCAGGTCGACGGAAAGGCATCCTCGGTTCACACGAGCCGTCTAACTCAGTCAGATCGCCTCCGGGTCTAATCCCATCACTGAACATCACCTGTTTCGTCACTTCTGACCTGCTCCTACCTACAAACATTGTACATTTTATACCAAATAGTTTCTACATTGGTTTGCTAGCATTCACAAAGAGATGTTACTGTTACTTTTTGCAACAGTTATTACTTACCTATTACTGATCCAATGCAGTAATAAAATCAGATTGGACTAATTTTTTACAATTTTAAATTAGTGTAATCAATTTTTTTAGTGTGGTATGGTATTTTGTACTGTAATGCAATATGCTATTGACACATTGATAAAAACAAGAACATTATAAATGTACAATAATATGGGCCAATTTATTTTTATTTTCAGAACTAAAATTTCATTATGGAATGAATTATTTTAAGAAAAATGTATAGTTGATATCTTCAACCCTATGCATTTAAAAAACCTCTTTAGACCCATGAGCATGTATTAAAAACAACGTTTTCACTATATGAAAAAAGTTACCTTCTCGCTTGAGGACTCCAACTGGCACCATCACACTGGGCGGGGGTTGATGGAGTGATCCCGCAACCTGCTGCAGCGGGGGTATAGTGGAGCAATACTCCATGGGGTTGTTAGGATTTGGCTGACGACCAAGAGGACTAGACGCCTCCGAAGCGTTCACTGCAACCAAACAAAAACCCATGAAAATGATAACTCTAAAGAAAAGAAACACAAATTCATATCTGCAAAGTCGAGTTTATGTCCAACAAGAATGAACCTTTAGCCTTCTTAGCAAAAGTTTATGACCTATAGTAAAAAAAAGATCCTTTAAAGCTACTCCACAAACTCATTAGTAAAGCAAATTCATACTTATTATAATTTTTACCCCCCTGGAATCAGACTTTACAATACCAGTCTCCACCTGCCCAGACATATAGAAGCGGGAACCAATGTGAAGACACCAAATATTTAGTAACGACAAATTGATGCTAAGTTTTAGGATAAATTTATATTTTATGCTTATGCAAATCAATAACTAGAGGCAGAAAAATTAATTCTGAAAAACAATTTAACGCATAGTAGGCCTACATTAATTGTAAAAATATAATGCTAAAACACTGAATAAAATAATAAACTAGGCTACATATTATAACACAACATCTCCAAAAATGTATTTTTTTAAGGGTGTTAGAATTTCAATTCAATTTAATTAAATATATAGAAATAATGGTGTTATATTTTATTCTTAACTGTTTGTCAACTAAATGTAAAACAAAAACAATTCTGTCTCAATTTAGGACAGTTATAAAAGCTTAAAACCCAACTAAGCTGGCTAGATAACACCAAATGTTGGTGACTCATTTATCAACCGTCATTAATTTACAATTAATTCCATTAAGTGTTGTAGCGCGACTCACTATTGGTTCTATCAACCAATCCCAATTGTATTCACTTAGAGTTGAGTCTTTGTGTAAACATAGCCTTGTCAAATTGGCAAACAACTGTTAGTCTGTCAGACTATGAATTGGTTGAAAAGCATTTTACAAAAACAACACCTTGTTTCATAGAGAGAAAATTTGGTTGAATGTTCCAGATAATTTTAGGCTGGTTACTTATGAGATTATATAAGTAATCGTTTGGACTTTAACCAGTTGTTATCAAATCCAAGTTAATAAAATCAGTTTTGGATTGTTTAATTGATCAAGTAGAAAATATTGAAGCATAATCAATTACTATGAAGCAGGTCAATGAGTGTTGTCTTTTTGCTTTCCGCTGCCTGATTTAACTACAGTAGAACCTAAATAACAAAGACTCTCATGGGGATAGTTAAATAAGACTTGTTATCAACGCTGACTTCTTATCAAGGTTTGCAATAAAATGTGATTAGGGGTCAAATAAATTGAAGGGAATTTGAAAGGGACATTTTTTCATAAAGGGTGAGTTTTATCTTGGGTCTTGTTATTGAGGTTCTACTTTATTTTAAATGAGGCAGTAATCAAATAGGTTTTTAATACCTCTCCGTGAAGAGAGAATCTTTTTACGCAAACTAACATTTATTTGATTTATTTTCAAGGGGTACCTACAAGTGGCAGAATGAGGCGTTGTTTTAGGGATAGAGTTAGCTTACCTTAAAATAGTAGTATTAAAAATTGAGGCTCTATCGACTCTTTGAAAGCCCTACACCAGGACAATTCCAATGTTATGTATTGTAAACTTTTATTGCAGATCTTTAAGCCTCTGGCTTTAATTTTCTTAGATAAGAGTTGACTCTATCTCCTTCCATAAATATTTTTTTTTATTGGATTATATATATTTTTTTGGACCAAAAAGAAAGAAAGTAAAACTGTTACATTCAACTTACAGGCTTCTAGTATAGTGAAGCATGGATGGCAAACCCTTGCTTCTGTAAAGTTCATATATTCCAGCCTCGCTTTATTACAACAGCATTTGTAGCACAATACCTAGAAACAAGAAAAAGACGGTGAGCAAATACCGGTAGTGATAGAAAACCTTGCATTTGCATTTAAGCGATAAAATTTAATGAACTTAGTAACTAAAATTGTTTAAGCATATGTTGTAATAGCCAAAAATTTTAAATCTCAAAACCAAAATTTAATCGAATCTCGAAACCCAAAGCGAAACATTCTTAGTTAGCTCAAGGAGACAACAAAAAATGTTTATTATAGCTTCCTATGATACAAGGCTGCAGAGACGCACTTGCATGCCTATTGCCATAGTAATAACAAACATGTAGGCTAAACATAAACACTGCACATGTACGCTACATCATAAATTACAGCAACAGCTGTTTTGGTTTGCCAAGACAGCGGTGGCCACTTTTGTCTCACCTCGGTCTTGTATTAGTGGAGGCTATGTTACTAAGCAATCAAAACTTGCAAGAGATTGACTCTTGGTTCTGACATAATAACATAAATAAAAATGTAATTCATAAACTTCAAACACAAAAAAACTGATTTTTTACAAACAACACAAGAATAAATTAAAATCCTGACACTAACATAGACATAAATATTAGATTAATTAGAAAATTTAATGGTCAAATTTTATTTGTGTGTAAAAAACAAGTCACTCTTTTGTAGCTTAAGGTTAAGTTACAATTAGAGGTTGTTGTGTTACCTGGCCACAAGCTCTGCAGTGATGTCGTCGCTTGATGACAGTGAACTTCTGCTGACACTGCATACACGAGAGGGCGTCTGTGTCAGGCACCCAGAACGGAGGAATCTTGCCAAGCCGTCGGTCCTCGGGACCGAACTCTCTTGCCAACTGGCCTGTGGCAGGATTTATTTTGTTAAACACTCGTAATGATATCAAAAATCTGCCTACTAATAAGTAGATGACCTATTTTCAATAGGTAGATCTTACCAAAGGCATATTAAATAAATATATAGGATGGAGAGGACACAGCTAACTCACCTGATGAAAGGTTGCAGACGAGTCAAAGAACACATAAAATCACACACATAATAATACTTAATATTTCGCCTTTTTCAGAGGCTTCTTCAGAAGTAGGCCTAGATGGTAGTTACAAGAACAACAGTTGTTTTTGTAACTACCATCTAGGCCTACTTCTGAAGAAGCCTCTGAAAGAGGCGAAATATTAAGTATTATTATGTGTGTGATTTTATGTGTTCTTTGACTCGTCTGCAACCTTTCATCAGGTGAGTTAGCTGTGTCCTCTCCATCCTATATATTTATTTAATCCAAGCTGAATGCTTTTTCCTAAAAACATAACCTCAAAGGCATATTAAGAGTCCTTGGAGTCTAGCCTCTATTGAATGACTAGCCGTGTGAACTCTTACAACATTAGAAAAACTACAAATGAAATATTTTATCTCATAGCTCCCAAGATACTTAAATTACAATCACACAGACACACGGTATTTCAATAAATATTTTGGGATGGTAAATAACTCTTCAGCGGCTGTTCGCAATTAATATTGCTCCTATAGCGGGTAAATCAAAGATTGTCGTTAGTCTCTAAGGAATCTTAAGTTACTGTTATGAATGTTTATTATAAGGGTTTTGGGTTAGATTTATGTATTAGGCTAGACTTAAAGGTACAAAACCATCTATCCCAATGCCATGAATCTTTGAGAAACTGACCCATACATGCCTGCCAAGGCAACCATATATATATGTCTTATCGCTGATCTTGAAACTAAGTTCTCGTTCTCAGGTGGGATATTAAATTACAGTGAAGTTTTACATTACTTTTTACAATCCCAGTAAGCTGATTCATACAAATTAAATAGACTGGTTAGACAAAGTGGTTTGTTAGTCTAATATATTTTAAGCTAATTATGAAAGCTGGGCGAGTAAAGAAGGGAGTGATCTGTGTAATTTTATTAAACAGACTAAGATCAGCTATTTCTTCAGCCAAGGCCATTATCATAAGCCCAATAATGAAGGACAGAACGGGATATGTTAAATGATGCATATTTTTGTTTTAAAATAAATAGTAAAACTTAATTCTGTTTTCTGAAGTAGATTTGAATGACTTATTTTTATAACCAAATTAATTTTCATAATCAACTGTAAAACAGGCAAAGCTCACAGGATGTCAAAGTTAAAATTTAATCAAGACTACTGGGCATTCATCGTGGATTTAGGAATTTTAGGAAGTGAATTACCTGTGATAGGTGGTGACAGCGGAGGTGATAGTAGAGGAGGTGATTGTGGCTCGGCTGCCTCAACGGTTATCTTCTTTGGAAGTTCCAATGAGTTCGGCCTCGGAGGTCTTTCCTCCTCCGCTACCACACCAGCTTCGTCTACATTTTCAGCTGAAGGTGACTCAGTAGCTGTTTTTATAGGGATCATTTTAGTTGAACCACCCAGTGTTTTAGGAAGATTTTCTTGACTGCTACTAGTGCTGGGTAAAGAGTCCTTTTCAGAATTATTTTGAACTCTCAACTCCTTGGTACTGTTGGCTGTATTTTCATCAGTATGTGAAGATTCACGAATAGTTTCAACAGTCGGTACTTCTTCTTTAGTAATTTTACTTTTTTCTTTATGTGAGACGGATGAAGCGGAGTTATTAACATTTGACTTTTCCTTTTCTTTATTTTTACTTTTGGGTTCAAGAGTTAAACATTCGTTCATTCTCAAATTTTCCAGCATGGCAGGGACTTGAGTTTCAGAATTACTGCTTACGGATTTGTCTGTACCATTTGTATGAGAAGATTTACGAACTGGTTCAACAGTCGGTATTTCTTCTTTAGTTATTTTACTTTTGTCTTTATGTGAAGCGGATGAAGCAGAATTATTGAGTTTTGCCTTTTCATTTTCGTTTTTACTTTTAGGTTTGGAAACTGTAAGAGTTAAACATTCCTTTAGATTTTCCAACTTGGCAGGATCTTCGGTTTCAGAAATACTGCTAGCGGTTATGTCTTTATCATCATCTTCTTCAAAAGGATTTGTACTTTTTCTTTTCGATTCCATCTTCTCACTTATATAGCCGCTGTCTTCGTCATCGAAAGGATTTGTGCCACCACCAACATCCTTTGTGGATTCTCTACTACTAGACATAGAGCTTTCAAAAGGATTTGAATTGCAGAATGGATTTGTACTATTTTTTTCAGGATTTTCTTTACTTGTAGGAACATCAACATTCGTAATCTTTTCACTAACTGGGCTTTCATCTGATTTTACTTCACTAAGAAATATTTTATCCTGAGTTTTATCAACCTCTTCGCTAGTTGATTCATTCTCAGATATCAGTGGAGTACTGCTAGTAGATGTATCAAAATCGTCCGACTGATAAACGGGAGATTCACATTTTTGTGTCATATCATTTTTACTTCTTTCTGAAATTGAGGATTTCCCTTCTACAACGTTTATAGATGGAACGTCACAGTTAACATTAGTCATATTATCATTTACAATGTTTTCCTGTTCTTTTATTTTGATACTTTCAACAGGTACGTAATCTCGAAAACCACGTTCACCTGTCTTCATTTCAACTGACATCTGACTATTTTCTGCATTATTGGTGATTTCAATTTTCAAACACTCTTCAGGTACAATTAAATCTTTGAAATCAACCGTTTCCTCCATTTCTTCCAAATCTTTCAGATATTCCTCCAGCTCACCTTCCGAAACATCTGCATAATCATTGAATCCTATTGGTTGAAGGGACTCTGCGGTATCAGTTTTTGAGCTATAAATATTTTCACTATCAACGTTAACCTCTACGTTTCCAAGATTTTCTCCAGTCGTAACTACAATACTCCTGTTATCATTGTAGGAGATTGAAGCCCTAACTTTCTCTTGTGAACTTGATGGAACAATATTACTCAATTCCGGATTTCCACTCACATTGTTCAATACCTGTGTAATGTTTGAATGTAATGGTAAACTAGAATATTCATAACTGTCATCTGAAACACTGGGATTCAAAACCACACTGTTTACTTCTTCTTCTTTTTCTAGAGCATTTACAGTTTCATATGATTGAGCAGTGCATTGAAGTCCATTTTCACTTTGATGATTTTCTCTGAGAGTTGTGTATTTTGACTTACCTGACTCGTAAGTATCACTCGAAAGTGTTACATCTTTGATTTCACCAGCAAAATGACTACTAGTGGACGATATCAGGTCTAATGAACTTGCGATATTCTCGTTTTGGTTGTTGTTTGATTCGTGATCCAATGACCTCACTGAAGTTATGTCAGGAAGTTGATTATGGATTTCTGAATTATTGGTGCTAAAAGCTATGTTTTTACTGTTGTATTCGAGCAAGTCTGGTTTTTCATCGTTTGTAATAGAACTATGAGGTTGTGGCCATTCTTTAGTGGTTTCATCTTCTGATTCTGATAACAACTGATTTTTAATATTTGCTTCATTGTTTAATGCTGATACTAATTTGTTGTCTGTTACATAGTTTCTATTATTAAGCTGGGCTCTGTTCCCAGCAAAAGCAAAGGTTTCATCAGCATTTTGTCTTTCAGTGACTGATGTTCCTAGGTTAAAGTTAAGAGATGGAGTTTTAGGCGGAGAGGCTGCAAAATCGGCATCTGCGAGATTGATTGGTTCAAAAGATGGTCTTCTATAACTAGCAGCGGGAGGTCTGACCACTGGGACCTGAAAATGAAAGGATCAACTTACTACGGTAGGCTATTAAAAATGTTACAACTAAAAATATTAAGAAGAGGAAAAACTTTGGTACCGTATCCGAGTATATTAAATCGATCAATTTTTACCTAAGCTATCTTATAAAGAATCTATCAAGTGCTTTAGCTTAAAAAAAGCTAAACCACAAACTATTAGTAGCCTAGATTTTAACTCAAATATCTATGACTTTCAATATATGTTGATATGACCAATCATTAGGCCTACTGTATAGCCTATGCTATGCTTTCAATATCAGAATAAGTTAAGTTAACTTAACTTAATTATAAACAAAGATTTTAAAAATTCCAAATTCAACCCAAACCCATGAAGAATAACCCCCCTTAAAACTTTTTGAAAAATCATCTAAAGCAACAGGAATTGAGAGCTGTGGCACAGGTAGGCTTAGAACTTATATAGGCCTTCTTGGCTAGAATGTAGGAGAAAAGAATATCTAGTATCTCATACTGTAACAGAGACGAAACAACTGTCGATTAGGAAATAGAATTTTTGTATGTAGTCTAAATTTTGATATATTTAGGTGACAGTACAATAGTTGAAATAGCAACGAAACAACAAACTGTTGTAATCTCATGGCTTAATTCAATATTTCTGTCAACCTGAGTTTTATACATCTTTGATTTGTATAAAAACTTAGTTTTAAAACGGATATGTCCGTTGGAATGAATAAAAAAATAGTCCTATCCATCTACCTATAGGCCTAAAATAAAGATATAGGTATTATTATAAGCTAAAACGGATCTCAACTTTTGAGAAAATCATAAGCCACACACATAAACCGTATACTAGAATGATATGTCTTGATTTGAAACTTCCCTGAAAATAACAGTTTTTATATTGCCTAAACCCTCTCCTAAGGGCAGGAACCTCAATTAAATAACTGCTTTTAACCACATTTTAAATACTGGTATTATTTTATTTTGTGTTTTTACGCCAGTGGAATTTTTTACGTTTTGAAAGGGAATGGTCTAAACCCTGGTCTTGTTTCTACATCTAACGACGACCTTTTTGTTAGATAGCATCATTAATTCTCAGCCCAATGACAAATGAAATCTGGGTCTGGAAAAGATCTTGCTTGGATATTTAATTATTGAACTTGGATTAACTTATTGAAGATACATCTGATGTACTCTTACTTTTATTTAAATATATGATTAATAAAACACCAAGTCAATGTTAAGACTTTTTAATACATCTTGAATCAGCATGTTATACAATTTAGGTGTTATACGTTGGAGTACAAAATTAAGAAGAAGGACGATGATCTCTACGCAGAGAGACATCCCCGCTACTCAAGACTACCAACTATAAAAACAAAATAGTTGAAGTAATATAACTCATAACACTTCCCCTTTTTATAAAAGAAATAAACAGTACTTTTAGAACAACAGTAAAAGAAACAAACAGTACATCTTACATGTGAAATTGAAATAAGTACATTTTTTAAAAATCAACATTAGCCTAACATTTTAATACAAATTCATCTTAAACATGTGAAATTAAAAGTACATTTTTAAAAATCAACATAGCCTAACATTTTACTACAATTCAAATTCATCTTAAACATGTGAAATTGAACAAGTACATTTTTAAAAAGTCAACATAGCCTAACATTTTACTACAATTCAAATTCATCTTAAACATGTGAAATTGAACAAGTACATTTTTAAAAATCAATATAGCCTAACATTTTACTAAAATTCATCTTCATCTTACATGTGAAATTAAAAACAAGTACATTTTTAAAAAATCAACATAGGCTAACATTTTACTAAAAATTCAAATTCATCTTAAACATGTGAAATTGAAACAAGTACATTTTAAAAAATCAACATAGGCTAACATTTTACTAAAAATTCAAATTCATCTTACACATGTGAAATTAAAAACATTTGATACCGTACTCAAATTAATTTATCTTTAAAATTCTAACCTACAGAACAAAATCAGCAAAATATTTTCATTAATACAAAATAAAAATTCTGTGACCATTTACCACAAATACTTAACTAAACATTTGGATTCTAAAATAAAAATATTCTTCCATAAACAACAAGAGTTTACATCTCATAATCTTTAAATCTTTCAGGTTGTCTGATAACTCTACCAAACCTAGAATTAGGCCTACTCGGGCCAGACCTAACAGGCGTCTCATGAACAGTGGTTGTAGGATTAGGTTCAAGATTCTTACTAGGACTAACAGAACTCGTGCGAGTAGATGGCACTGAGTTACTGTTGTTTGATAGCAAGGGAGTAGGCATAGGAATTCTGTTTTTAGGCGAACCAGCTTTGGGTAACAGTGGCGACATAGGATAGGTAACACTAGGATTTACTATTTGACCAGAGTATTTACCAAGTGGTCTCTTAATTTTCCTTAATCTTAAGTGACTTGCATTCCTCTGTAAAGTTGAGCCGCTATGACTCAGCCTAACATAATATGAGCTAGGGGTTTTGGCTAAGCCTATTATTCTACCTGGTTCCCACACACGGGAGCGAACGTTGTACACATTTACCTCATCCGAGACCTTGAACTCTCGCCTAGGGCGACTATTTCTATCATGATACCATACTGCTTTTGTTTGCTTCTCATATAATAATTTATTAACAACATTTCTATCGCAAACTTCAGGTCTCAACAAACTAGCCGATATTGGGATTTTTGTTCGCAACCTCCTAGACATTAAGATTTGAGCTGGTGACATATTGCCTACAACAGGTGTGTTACGTAGCTCCAAGAGAGCAATCTCGACATCTTTGCCATCCTCACTACATTTTTTAACCAGTTTTTTGATAGTTTGAACGGTTTTTTCAACCTGACCATTAGAACGGGGGTACATCGGGCTACTATTTACAACTTTGAAATTCCAGTCCAAGGCAAATTGTTTAAACTGATATGAACCGAAGGGATTATTATCACCAATGACCTTGGCTGGTATACCATGAACTGAAAATACTTTCTTGAGCTCACGTATCACATCTGTTGTGGTCTTAGATTTTAACTCAAGGCACTCTGGCCATTTACTGTAGTAGTCAATTACAACGAGGAATATTTTACCTCCATATTCTGCAATATCCACACCTACTTTGTTGAAAGGTAGATCAGGTATCTCATGACACATTAGGTTATCTTTAGCATTTGCATTCATAAATTTCTGACAAAGAGTACAACTAGACACAAGATTATCAATATCTACAGACATACCAGGCCAGTACAACAGTTGCCTAGCTCGAGACTTTGTTTTTTCACACCCTAGATGACTTTCATGTAACAGATCCAACATGGCTTTTCTTAAACTACATGGGACAACAATCTTATCATTTAAAAATACCAGGCCATCGAATACATACAAATCACCACGTTTACCAAAGTAAACCTTTACACACTCTGGTAGAGACCTTTTGTCTGAAGGCCAGCCACTTTTGAAATATTGTTTTACAAGGCTGAGAGCTGTGTCATTGTCTGTTGCTTCTCGAAATTCTACCATTTTATTTTCTGATATTGGTAAAACATAAGGTACCACATTTTCTATTACATTTACACTAACACAATTCTCATTGGGCTTACAAGTGCGAGACAACACGTCAGGAACAACCATTTGTTTACCAGGACAGTATTTCAAAACTAGGTCATACTTAATTAGTTTTAATTTTAACCTCTGTAACCTAGGTGATAAAATTTTGTGAATTGGCTTTTTCATCATGGACTCCAAGGGTTTTGAGTCATTATGCACAACAAATTTGTTACCATACAGCAAGTTGTGGTACCTAGTAACAGCAAATACGATACTAAGTAATTCCTTTTCCACTTGAGCATACTGCTGCTCGGTATATGTCATACTGCGAGAAGCGAACGAGATTGGCCTACCACATTGCATTATACAGCATCCAAGACCATTTTTACTAGCATCAGAATGGACCTCAACCGGCTTAGAACTATCATAAGTCGCCAAAACAGGCGCTGACGTTATTGCTTCTTTTAACTTATTTACACACTCTGAGTGAACAGGCAACCAAGACCATTCAATATCTTTTTTTAACAATTCACGCAAGGGACTGGTCAAGGTAGACATGTGAGGGGTGAATTCACGAAAATAATTAAATAGGCCAAGCATGGATTGAAGTTCCTTCTTGCTAGTAGGTTCCGGCAATTCTAACACAACTTTAATATTACTTTCATCTATTTGTACACCCTCCGAACCAAAGCATAGGCCTAAAAAATTCACCTTATTCATCTTATATTGAATTTTCTTTGGGTTGAACTTAACATTATTAGCTCTAGCCCTACCTAGCACTTCTTTTACAATAGTATCATGTTCCTCAAGGGATTCAGCTGCTACAAGCAAGTCATCAAAGTACACAGTTACTCCATTGATGTCAGAAAAAATCTGGGAATTTAGTTTCTGAAACATTTGTGGTGCTACCTTTAACCCAAAAGGAAGTCTTAAGAACCTATAGCACCCATACGGGGAACTAAAAGTACACAAGTGACTGGATTTTTCATCAAGTGCGATATGCCAAAACCCATTTTTCAAATCAAATACTGAAAAATACTTTTTACCAGACAGTTTGGCTTTGATTTCATCAATAGTGGGAATCATAAATGGCTCTGGAACTAATGCTACATTTAGACATTGTGGATCTAGACAAATTCTTAAAGTTTTATCACTTTTCTCAACTATGACAATGTTACTCACCCAATTACATGGTTCATTGACTTTTTTAATAACTTCACATCTTTCCAGTTCGTTAAGAGTGTCTTTCAGTTTCGGCATAACAGAATACGGAATTCTACGAGGAGGCTTAACAACTGGCTGTACATCAGGATTCACTTTAAGACTATGCTTACCTTTAAAACAACCTAATCCTGAAAAAACATCTGCATTTTGGTGAACAAAACTCTCCTTCGTCAACTCTTCGACAGCATTTACCCTTTTTATGAGACCTAGTTTAACACAAGTCTCAAGTCCAACAATCGGGATACTTTTGAGATTGTTTACGATTATGAAGTCTTCCTTAGTTGTAATGTTTTTATATGTACAATTTAGACTGAGCACACCACAAGTGTTTAGTTGAAAGCCACCAAAAGATTCCAATTTTACATTAGATTTGACTACAAAGTCCAATAACTCAGAGTCAATTTGTTCAATAACATGTTTAGGTAAAATGTTGATTTCAGCTCCGCTATCCAGCTTAAAGTTAATGTTTTGTCCATTAATACACAAGTTTTCAAACCAAGCAAGTTTACATTGATTGTTAGATATGGAATCAATCCTAAACTCTTCATCGTCATACACCAGTACATCATTAACTTGTTTAGGCCTATTATTCTTATTTTTAAAACAGCCTACAGAGAAGTGATTCATTTTACGACATAAGTTACAAGTTTTACCATAGGCTGGACACTGAGCTGCTTGATGTTTGGTGTTACATTTCTTACACAAATATTCAGTCCTAGTCTGTGAATCAAAATTTTGCTTACCGTTACCACTTGAAGGCCTATTGAAATTCGAACTTTTACTACCCGTGAGAGAGTACTTTTTAAATTTATTATTGTTCGGACATCTTGAGTTACCACGACCCACACTATGGACTACATTCTCCGTCTTTATACCTTGGGAATATGTACTAGATGATTGTACAGGACTACACTCTAGGCCAACTAAGGCCTTGTCTTTCGAAATGCTCGAAACATGCTCTCGGCTAGCTTCAACTAACCTACAAAACTTGATTGTGTCTTCTAATTTTAAATCGGTTTCACGAAGGAACCTTTCTTGTGTTGACTGGTCATTAATGCCCATTACAATCCGGTCACGAATCATATTATCCTCTTCACTCCCAAACTCACAGTAGATAGCCAACTTTCTAAGGTCAGTAAGGAAACTATTAAAGGGCTCCCCCAGACCCTGAGATCGCTTGTGAAACAAATATCTTTGATAGACAACATTAGATTTTGGAGAGAAATGTTTATCAAAAGCACTCAAAACATCTTTTAATTTTAATGTGGACACTTCCCCCAGTTTAAACGTGAAAAATATTGATAATGCATCAGGTCCAATCGCATTCAGTAGTTGAGCTACCTTTACATGGTCACTTTTAGCATCGGCCTCAGTGGCCGTTAGAAACAATTGGAATTGATTTTTAAAGAGAGTCCATCCCACCGAAACATTGTCATCAATATTTAGAGGCTTGGGAGGCTTAAAAGACATCTTAATTGAATTTTTAAAACGGAACTTGCAATCCTGAACATGTGAGGTCGACTAGGCCTACACACCATTTTTAAGTCCTATAAAACACACTCGACTTATTACCTTGGGAGCGTTGCTTCTTCAGACTGCGCCATGATGTACTCTTACTTTTATTTAAATATATGATTAATAAAACACCAAGTCAATGTTAAGACTTTTTAATACATCTTGAATCAGCATGTTATACAATTTAGGTGTTATACGTTGGAGTACAAAATTAAGAAGAAGGACGATGATCTCTACGCAGAGAGACATCCCCGCTACTCAAGACTACCAACTATAAAAACAAAATAGTTGAAGTAATATAACTCATAACAACATCAGCTGTTAGGTTTGTTTTGCCTATATTAAGCCTAGGCCTATCTTCAATAGGTCTAGATAAAAAGGGAAGGGCAGACAACAACAAACAAATGATTGGTAGGCCTGTGTTATTTCCTGGTTTAATTCAACTACAGGCCTACTCAAGCAGTAGCTTAATCAAGGTAGGCCCCCTAGGCCTAAGTTAACTCATGTTTTTTTTTAACTTAAGAAAATTAATGTAAAGTAATCGTTTGTACAGCCTATGCTCTAATTTTTTAGAACTTTTTGTGTATTACTGAGCAGACTCTATTGGCTGTCCGATTAGGCCTACACGTTACCAACTAAGCTACACAAACTTGACAAAGCTAAGAATTGAGGAAATAGGTCTTTATTTGTAGGCCTACTTACCTGATGTTATTATCTAGCTATTCAACATTGACTAAAGTACTAGCTGTACTTATTGTGCAGTTAAGTTTAGTCATAAGCTAACCAGGCCTAATTTACACTGTCTAACCATTAATTTAGTATTCCCAAATTGGCGCGGGGAATTCGTCTCTCTACAAAAGTAATCAAAATTGGACATACCTGTCTCAAAGCCCCTAAACCAAGAGCAGGATGTGATGAGTTTCTGATTGATGCAACAGAAATATTTTCTTCTCGTTCTGGAACAGGGAAATAACACATTGAATATCTGTTGATAAACCATGAATGCTTGAACAAATCTAATAGAAAATCGAATAGTTAAAAGCATACCTTCATTATATTCAAACTCGTCCAAAACCTTTTCAAGATCCACGGCAAACTTCTCCATTATAAAATTAATAACATCACATTTTATTACTCCATAGTAGAGGCTGTAGCCATTTGCAATATTTGTATTCAACTTGACTGACAAACAGACGTTCGACGTTCCTGACTCTTCTCACATTGAAATCAGGGCCAATGAAATATCGTCTTCCTGATTACCAACTTAACCTAACCTTTTACGATTTTCTCTACTGTATACCTAATCCATACTATATTAATTGAAGTATATTCATTTGTAATATTTTGATATGCGATAAATCGAAAAAGTCAACGCTTTGAAAATTCTGTCAGAATACTTTCGTCTTTTGATATACCTATTTTGTATTTATTTATATTTTTATGAAGGATCAGGATGATGAAGCCCGACATCCTCCTCCCCCAGACGCATAGCACTCTAGCGACTTTCTATTTCTATGAACTTAGCAGCCCCTCCCCCTAGTACCATGACGCTGTACTTTAAGAACTAGAACAAAATTAACTCAGTTCAGGATTCATGGTTTGTATTGTTTGTATTTATTGTTTGTCCCTAGTCCAGTTCAGGAGTGATTCATTGAAAGTTGATTTTTTTACCCAGTTTCAAGAACTTTTTAAGTTACCTTTCATCATATATGCTTTTATTTTGTAGAATTCTTTTAGTTCTTGGAGATCTAAGTTCAGATTGCACATCAACACGTGATGCGCATCAGTGATCTAATGAAATTAGAACAACTTGAATAACTAAAAGGAATTCAATAAAAAAAGGTGATTCTTTGGTCGCGTCAGGTTTATTTTGTGAATATCAACTCCAGCGCCAGAGGTACTTTATAACAAAATGCAAAGGAATAGTCTAACGTTGTAATTACAATTATAGGAGCCCACCCACATAGCACAAGTACATCAATTTGACGTAAAATTGATGTCAAAGACGTCAACGTCAATGATATTTTGTACGTCATTTTGACGTCAATCAAGATCAATATGACGTCAAAATGACGTCAATATGAAGTAAAAAAGAAAATAAAATTTATGTAAAAATGATGTAAAAAATTGACGTCATGTGACGTCTTTTTGTTGTAAATTTGACGTAATATTGCTCAGTTTTTTAGGCAAAATGATGTCAAATTCACACCAAATTGACATCATTATGTTGAGCAAAAAAATGTAAAATTGACATAAAAATAATGTAAAATATTTCCCCTATTTTTTTTATAAAATTATCGGTAATTCTTCATAGAACTGTAATTGTATTCATATTAATTTTCAATGTTACTAGTGCCAAAAATTTTTTAGTTCTGCAAAATCTTGATGACATAATTGGCAAATCTTTTGCAAAAATCTGTTGGAACCATGCTGAGGAAAACTTGTAAATAAATACCTAACCTAGACAAAGGTAATAAGTTTTATAACAAATTGTAAAACAAATGGATGACCTAGGCATCAGCTGATGAATTTTCTGCATAACAGATAAAAAAACTAGGCCTACTAAAAAAATACTGCAATTTATATTTGTTAGGCTTCAATTTTTTTTCAATAGCAGTGTTTGACATTGGTATAAACTAAACTGTGGAAAATATATTTTTATGCTCTTACTTTCTGATCTAATTCAAATTATGGTGTTTATATTCTTAGGTTATGTAAATAAAAGTATCTTACAAAACGGAAATGATCGGCTTTATAAATTTCATACAGAATCTTTTATGTACTTTTTACATTTTACTGTACAAAAATATTTTCAATTTATGATATTTTAAAAAATAGAATAGGAATTAATTATGCTGGAAAATAAAACCTGGAGTCCAAATAAAAATATTTATTCATACAATAAAACTAGGTACATCATTAACATCCACACTACTTATATAACTCATATTCGCTCTCCAATTCTTCTCTATTGCACCCTCCTGTAACAAGCAATAAATAAAAATGGTTGATTATGAAAATACAAAATAGATTCTTTATAGAAAGATCATTAAATGGATAGCAGCGCACAAATGTTGTGTCAGAGGGCTGGTACTGATTTACCAACGGTTTGAGGGGCTAACCAAATATACAAATACACCTATCCGTCTTAAAGACCCAGGAGGACAGACACGAAAAAGAGGGTGGTGTGACAAAATAGTAAAATTTACCAACTCTTTTAAGTTTTTGGACAAGATGTGGCCGGGCTTTGCAAACAAGTTTCATGCTAGCTAATTTGCGATGCATGTGATTTTTTATAGCCTACTGAGAAACGCTCATACATGGGCATTTTTATTAATAGCCTATAGGCATATATTTGTTGATTTTATTTATTGAGATGAAAAAATTTTCAGAAATATTTACCCTCAGTTATGTTTAAAAATATGAGGTATTATTTGTAGTTATTTCTAAATAATTTTAATAGAAAGCGATTTACGATTTTGATCTTTGTGTGCCTTTTTTTTGAGGATGGCAACTGAACTTCAAAATGTGTATTGCTTGATCGTTTGTGAACTTAGCGTATTCAAAAATTTTACCTGTTAACCCATTAGAGTGGAAAATTAGGACGGTTCAAGAAGTTTGACCAACAAGGATTATAAATTAAAATCAAGCATAAAATTAAGAATCCATTTTAAACGAACGCAGAAAAAACAAATAAAATTATATTCACGAAAAAGACTAGGCCTACCCATAGAACCAGCCACACTTAAATTCCCTCCTCGGAATGCTCAGAAGGAGCCGATAAAATTCAGGTGTCGATAAAAAGCTGTTTCACTCTTTTTAACTGATTAGTTATTTTAATTTTATCGAAGGGACCCTAGGGGATTTTATAGAGCTCTAGAAGTGCTCATGAAATCTAGAAGACGCTTAGGTGAGAGCTATCTCATATTCACCCTAAAATTGGTCTAGCTTTAAGAATGACTCTGTAGTCTAGGTCTGACTAGTATTCTACCCTGGCCGATTCAATAAAACGAACCCGTCTTACAATTTATAATTATCTGACGAAAGTGGGTAATAAATGAATGTAGGCATACGGCATACGTACTATGATTAACTGGAAAAAATATACTGTAATATAAAAATATAGAATCTTTGGGGGCCTGCTTAGGATGAACACAGAATTGATCATGATATGGTAAATACATTAATGGTTAGGCCTACTAACTTATTCTTCATAGTGTAAGTTAATAGCCAAGTTGACCTTCTAAATAAATAATCGATAATTGGCGTAGCCTAAGATGCGTAAGTAGCGTTTAACAGTGACAATGTTATCTCGTCGTTAGAGTACAAACTAGTTTAATCTTGTATCTTGGTCATGCTCCGATTAGGCTACAGTTAGATTGAAGCTTAAACAATCTTGTTGTGATGGATTAAAGTACTAGCCAACAGCCTACTTGATGTGACTATAACCTATAAGAAGGGCCACAAGCCCTTTCATACAGAGGGTATAGAAACTGAAAGTTGGTGGAAGATTACTGTTAGGTCAAATTCGTCTCTTAAATCACAACTCTGAATCCCTCTTTTGAAGAGCTAATTATATACCCCAACCAAATCATAGAACAGTAAACAATCCCTATTACAAAACAAAATATCTTAAATATAAATTAAATCACAACATGATTGCTAATTACCTGTAAATGATTTTAAATTTACTTCATCTAATATTATTATTGCATCTTGAGAGGGAATAGTATTTCAACATGCAGGATTATTGTAGTAATACATGTCAGGATTTGGAAGTGGAAATTAGGCAATGCTTCCTCTGAAAATTAAACGCGGAACCAACACAATCGCAATATCACAAAAAATGAACTTAAATAAAAAGTTGGAGTTGTCGTTTATGGTGGATTATTTAAATTATTATGGTGGTTAATGTTTAATGATGCTTAATTAACTTTATGTAAAAAAAGTTAAATCATGGGCCTAACAATTTATTTATTTAGGTTACAGGAACAACACTATTTTCATGATTCAAAAACATTTCATTTGTTCATACTTGGGCATATTTCCTTATTCATTTTTTATATAATACATGTAAGTTAAGTTTATCTATGAAAACTTACTTTTAGTAAGTTAGGCTAAGAAACCTCAAGTAGCATGCCACCCGCATCCAATTATTTTGAGGTCTTCAACAATGTTGGCGGTAGACCCTGGGCATTTGGAGTTCTTCATGATAGCCTCTGTACCGTACTGTAAAGAAGATAAGGTAGTTTTAATTACGGTTGATTGGAATGATGTAGCCTAACTTTAAATTTATAGGCTTTTGCTTGGAACAACATAATTACAGTTCTCAATGTATCACACTAGGCCTGCCTATACTATATCTATTGTTGTTAGTGAAGTGAAGTCGCGAAGTGGGCAATTCAGGGTTAATTAGATAAATAGTGTTACTGTTCATCAGCTGTTCGTAGGCTATGTTTACAAAGTGAAAAGCAGATGAAATTAAGTAGGCTACTGAGTACCGGTAACCTAATTATCCCATTGGATATTAAATATCGGTATCCAGCAAATTTTGATGATGGGCAAGATGAACTCAGTTTGAAATGCAAAAGGTTTACACATATAGGCCTATTTAGGTGTAAGTGGTTAAGAATTATACTATAAAATAGAATTTAAAACAGTAGGCTAGCACACTCTGTGTAGATGGCTCATCCAACTACCTTGGCTATTTTGTTAAGTTATTGAGTTAGCCTACTGATTTAAATAGGCTACTAAACTGGCAAGTCCTGATTGACGGAATGACTTGTAACCTGCTTCAGTTTCCAAAATAAGTTAAGTTAGTACATAATGGTTAGGCTAGAACATTACCTTTTCTTAGGTTTAGACTCCTTATCCAAAAGATAGCCTAACTTACTTAACTTAGACCTACCCCTACGATACCAAACAAGCCTAGCTTAACTTGAAACTGTAGGGTAGGCCTACTTCTAAGATAGCCTAGGCTAAATACTTTGCTGCAATCGTATTAATTAAATCGCAGAAGATACACGTCCTGTAACCGAACGTAGATTAATTTAATCGTCCGGCAGCAACCTCACCGGGTTGTGTTGGCCCGGAACACTATAACCACAACGATACGACGTACAGCCGTATTCAGTGGTGTAGTGGATAGAGTAGCCTACTCGGCTGA